CATAATTTTTAACTCTTAGGTTATATAAAAGAACTATAAGCTTTCTCAGTAAAATAACATGATTATACTATGATAATGAGATCAATCAACATAACTAATAAAAATGAGACAAAAAAAACAGTAAACTATAATAATAAAGTAACAGTTAACAAGAATGTTATTTGTAATATAATTATTGTGCATATTTCTTAATGGAAACAACCATGACAAATGTCTGAATTCGAAGTACACGTCTCATGTAGCCACCGTTTACAGCGAACGCATTGAATCGAATCAACTTTTAGACCCTTCTTATCATAGTGAAAACCTTTTCAAGATCATCGTCGCTGTCATCATCATCATCTAGTTCTACAACAAGTGTCTCTCCTGAATCATCGCTACTGGTGATGGAATGAGATCGTTTCCTCTTATAACTTTTGTTTTTGGCCTTGTGTAGTACTTACTATAGGTACTTGCGGTAGTACTATAGGTACTTGCGGTTGGTAGTTGGGTAAATCGTACCAGTACAATTTAACCAACTGCAAGTGGTACGATTAAACCAACTAAGGTATTTCTAAAACAAAAGCAAATATCCGGCATAAACTCAAAACTTAAACACGCAACAAAAACCCCCAATAATCTAGTATACAATTGTGGAATAATAAAAAAAAATAATAACTATGGCTTACCTTGATTACGAGTTATCTCCTTACGAATTTACAACATTATTTATATTAATTCCTACAAAAAATGTTTTTCTTTTATTACTTGCACAGTTGTTAACTCACGTCGATTTAAACTAGTGGGTGAAGAGGGATGGTACAGGGCCACGATTTGGCGTTGTCAGTGTAGAAAAAAATATTCATTAAATGGGAAATTTAGAAGTGGTACGATTTAAATGCTAGTACGATATAACCAACTCTCCCCTATATTATGTTTAATGTAATGTAAGACTTTGGCGAGTTCTCATTTAAATAAAAGTAATATTTTCGGATTTAGTCCACGTTTTTAATTATTATAACTACATGCTCCCGACGTTTCGTTTATTAATACGTAGACGTTGCTAGAATATTAAAATTACGTTACATGTTTATTAACTTTTATTTGGAGGAATATAGTTTTTTGACAGATATTCTCATTTTTGTATATACACATCAAGTAAATCTGAATTTAATTATAATAATGTATAATTCTTCACATTAACGGTTCTCACGTTATAACTGTTTAGAGTGTCATTAAAAAAAGACAGCCAATTAAAGTCTGTAATCACAAATCAATATACGTATATTTTTTGACGTGTTTTATTCAACACTAAGACGAGTTCGTGCTAAGATAATATTAATTCATGTAAAAGAGACAATTTTCTAAAAGTACGTCGTTTTGCTGGGCTCCTACAATGTAGGTTTACTAGTATATATTTTACATATGTGTTATATTGTAACAATATAAAAGTATTATAATTTACAAAATCCGTGTGTTGTCAAGTTGTTCCAATCGATTTGTTGGTTGTTGCGCGGCCGTAGGCACGGCGACGTCCTTGGCCGCGCCGTCTCGTGTCTGACGTCACTACCGCCCCGCCGACACCCCCCACTCCCCCCCACAACACCCCCTCACTAGGCACGCGGATGACGTCACACATAGCCATCGGATGCATTGGTCTTATAGACACAGCAACAGACATTTTGATACACTTATTGTAAACATTCCCACAAACAAAAAACATATAGATATAGACGAAATTAAATGAAACTTAATATATATTTTTTTGCCTTAATGTAATTTATACAATGTTAAAACATGTATTCTTCAATGACACTAATAAACATGTTAATTCAAATACCGTGTCAGTGGGACGCCGAATATTTAAATGTTTTGTAATTTGAACACTGTACAGCAATTCATTAAAGTCTTAAGAAAAATATGATATAGAAACTTGTCGAGTGTGTTGATGCATTTCATTATAATAACTTGTTTCACACACAAACAAAGTTCCTCGTATTTTTATCGGTCAAATAATTTATTGACACACAGATAAATATATATGCCACAGCTGTTTTTAAATATTAATTATTTATCTTATAAATTTCACGCGTAATTGAAATATTATTGTGACATTGTCTTTGAACATATATTAATTAGATTTTTTTACATTTAACGTACATATTTTTAAGTCGCGTTTTACATCATTTCACGTTTATAATTATTAACCCTAACTACAACAACTATAGTTGTAACTTATAATTAAAGTTATTTATTTAGATTTTGCTCAGCTTGTTTAAAATATTTTTGTGTGATTGTCACATATTTAAACAAAATGGGTCATTCTTAGTTATAATAGCTACACTACATACAAAACGTTAAGAGTTTATCATTCAATAATCTACGTTCATATTGTAATGTGCTAAAATAATGAAAAATTAAGTATGTAGTGTGTTGATGCCAACTTGTAGTAAGCATTCCGTACATCTACGGATATGGGTTATTGTTAATAATAATAATTTACTAAATGAGAATATACATTCCGTGTAATTTATATTTCCGAAAACACCTTCTTGGGTAAGACATCCCATTTATAGTTGAAGACTGTTTACCATCACACCACAACCAAAAACAGCGGAATATGAATGGAATAATTGGTAACACAATAAAAAACTTCCTTTAAAGAATTTCCAACACGTGCACTGCTTAAATTACATTTGTATTCCTACTGATCATAGTTTGATGTACCTAAAACATAATCTCTATATCCTTAAACTATATGAGCGAAGTCGCGAGCAAAAACTATATTAATTTCATGATGTTATTCGAATAATAGGAACACAATTTACGACTGTGTTCAAGGGCCTAGAACGTGTAATTCAAACGAGACAATTTAATACGTAACACAAAACTTTTAAGTTAAAACAAAAGCGGGCATATCGTTTTACAGTGACGGTGGTTATTGTAACAATGAACGGGACGTCGTACTAAGGATGGTACCAGCGACACCACACACTTCCTCGTACCATACAGGATCCAGACTTTAATTACACACGCATAACGCATACGGATGTATCGAGACACGTTTCAACTCATCGCCTTTGATGTTTAATATAAAATTATACTAGCTGCTTTCCAGCGACTGTTGTTTAAAGATGGTAATCCAACGCCATCTATTGTCTATATGTGGGACTTAATGAAAACTAGACCGTTGTAATATTTAAGTGAATAAAACTGCAGGCACTTTAGAGAATTTTCATATTAATTATAATTAATTCAATAAAATCAATTCATTATTTTATAGTGTATAATATAACTACATTTATACATAAATCAATCTAGTATAATAAAAGGATAAAATAATAAATGTTTGCAATTCATAATTGAGGTAGTTGACATTTTATTGATAATGACGTCATAAAAAAAATTATTATATCTGTTCAGGACTTTCAGCATCAAAAAAGAAATATACGTCACACACGTCAGCATTTATTATTATTATTGGTATATATGTGTGTGTGGTTGGTTCTTTATTGCTGATATAATTTTATAATCTATAAATATATATGATAAGGTGCATTATACTGTGGATGTTCGTTAGGGGTCGTTGTCATGTACCGGACCAACGCATTGTTCTCTCCGGGGGGCAGTAACCCATGTGCGACGATTAGATACGGCCAACGGGATACCGCAAGTAAACATCGCTTAAAACACATACATATATAAATATATATCATATATATACTCATATATACACGCACACATTAATAAATTGTATATAAATATATAGCATGGGATATATATTCTCTGACTGCACCGATGCAGGGCGTGTCTAAACTAATAACAATTTTATATAAGGTGTTGTTATTTATTATGTCTTAAATATAAATGGAATGAGATAAACATCAGTAGTCGATCTCAATCTATTATTAATATAGGTATGCAAATTATTGCTAATCGTCGCATAAAAAAGGGTAGACTATATCGTTCCCGTATTCATTGTGGCTAGATCATGGTACGGGGAGGCTTTGTTCGCATACAGACGAGGCACACTGATAAGCTCTCATGCATGAAATCCATAGTTTCGACACATTGTCACTCCTACTGTTATCAGGAGGCAGCTTTGCTTAAATATTACAAAATGTATGTTTGTAACAACCTCGTTTGTTAATTGTTGATTCTGGTTTCATTTTACCTTCCATGTTATCGTACAACATACTGAAATGTCTCGTTGCGATAGTTTTTTAAATATCCGTACATCTTTTACGATACAGAAATATTATAAGTTATTGTTACAAAAAAGGTAATAAAATATGTTTAAGATCCAAATAATCAAATTTGTGAATTAAAAAAGAATATATAAAATTTAATATTTATTTACACTAGCATGATGCGAATTTTTAACTTACGGAATTACGCGGTCAGGATACATTTTTAACTAAGCTATTTTTGCAACAATACCTTAATTTAGAACGATATCTCAAAGGTTGTAGGTGCAGACGATTTTTCTATTACTAAAGAGCTATTTATATTATAATTCAAGTTAAAGACTTAAAATTTTATCTAAATGTTCACGAAAAAAAATAACAAAATTTTTTTTCTACATATCACTGACGAATGCATTAAGACGGCACTTCGATCCACACAGAACATGTCCTACTGTCAAGTTTTTAACAACCATCGCACCTTGCTGGTACGTGGAACTAATTAGATTGCCTGAAGATGCATACATCAATAGACCTGCTTCATGGTACATGCTGAGGCAAGTCCATTAACTAATAAACCTTCACTAACAAACACGAAATCATATATCAAGGTTTTCGAAAAGGACTTCTGTTTTCATTTCGTCACAGAAAAGTCTGTATTAGTACTTTTTATGAAGCAGACGAAAATTGACTTATACTCTATAAAGACTATAAAGATTTTTCGTAAATGTGGCATATTACATTATCGTATACGTACAAGAAAAACCTATAAAGTACGACGTTAAATATAAATGTCAGCAAATCAATGAGTTATGTTGAAGTATACGAATGACTTACTTGAAACATATCAGTGTCGGGATCCTCTGTGTACTCGACTATGACTGCCTGGTTCCTACTAAGAGTGTAGGATATGGAGTGCTGGTTGGCGTCCAGGATAGCCTTGCTGCTGTGGGGAGTCTTCACCACATAGTGCTTTGATCTACGGACTCCATTAGCCTGTGGTCTCCTATATAGCACGAATTTGCTACGACGCCGGCCTCGCTCTCCGGCCGGTAGAAAACCATTGTACCTGTAATTAATTGGATACGTGGAAATTTCAGTGTGTAATGGAAACAGATTAATAATAACTACATTAATTCAACACATCATAGTGTACATCAGTGGATTTGACATCCTATAACAAGAAAGACCTGTAAATCATAAATCAGCGTGTATGCAAGGACATCTTCAATAATATTTTAACTTCGTATTACATTATTATATATAATGTTCCATAATTTCAATACAATAAAAAGGATGATACGTTTAATTAATAGAATAGGTTTATTTAAATCAATTTTTAGAAATACCTGTAATTGAATAGTATTTCTTTTTAAGGTTGTTATTGTAACTTAACGTGATAAGATGTTTTTATACATTATTGAGGTACAAAAAAACGCACACACACACACTCACAAATGTAAGACTATAAAGATTTATTAAAGGATATATGTATAGTGTTTAAGTATTAGTATTAGAATATTAGATCACATTGGGGTTGTCTGAATTGAGTTACAGTCTCTAATGCTCACATCGTCTGGAGCGTGAAAGACGACTCGCTTCTGAGTAAAGCAATTAAGATCACAGTTGATGCACCAGTTAAGAGAATTAACTACAGACTTGATTATTTATTATACTAATTAAATATCAGGAAACCCTTTAAATTACAAGCGATTGATTTAATTTTATATATAAACTCTAAAAGCCTAACTGGAGAGGAATCTTATATTGTTAAATATTATTATATGTATGTTATAATTTTGTTACTTTAGAATGACCATAATTGAAAGCAATTCATTTAAACTTTACTGCCGGATTAAATTATAAGTTTATCCAATCACACTATTTACGAAACGTTTCCCATTTTACAATCAATAAATTACTTGAATACTATGTACATATAATGTGCGAGATTTATGAATGATAACACTAACTATCATTCAATGAATTTAATTAACGTGAAACATTTAATTGAGTGATCATACGCCACTAGTGCATTACATAGGATTTAGGAAAGAGACGCCTTACACTTCCAGCATTGTCAATCCAGATTAATATCAACCAAACAGTGCCTACAACTACTACCAGAAAAATGGCTTTCCAAGAAGAAAACGTCATCAACATCGGTCGCACCGATTGAGAACTACGAAGCCACAAACACCAAAAAGATAAACATCGATGTCAAACTTATAACAACCATGTTTTTGCTTCGAGAGTTAAAAATCATAAGCGCTCCGTATGTAGTGTAATGCAAACTTGTGCTAATGATACAGATAAAGTCTATATTTGAGAGAGTGTTAACCAGATTAATTGAACTAGTCCCTACATGACGCGTGTTAGATAGAACTAACTCATACTTTGCTATATGTCAAAATCATCGAGAAGTTTAAACGAAAACTATTAATACAAAAATAGTTACTAGAAAACAGCGAAAGATTAAAAACATTTTGTATCTCATTGCTCATAAACGCTTTTATTAATGTCATAAATATATTTTTAATTATTCAAAACGTCTATACAGTAAGTGGACTAGATAAATGTAAACACAGAGGGCTACATTAAATCTACATCATAGCAATAAGAGAACAACAATCAGTATGAAACATCCATTAATTTATCAACGGTTATAGCTGCAGACTACTTAAAGCTTGACGTACATTATGCAGCTTAAATTGAAGAATTAAAACGTCACAAGAACGTGAGACAATACTTGGGGTATGAAGAGAAACATTACTCAGTAGGCAAGAAATTGTACGTCGACTGCATGGGAAGCCGGGCGAGTACTGTCATTGTATTATTGTATAACCTGATGTAACTCATTGAAATAATGCGTTACGGTTTTAGGGTACCGCTGTGTGAATCATATACCGGTGAATTATATTCAATAGTTTCTTATAGGATACTTATGGTATACTTTAGACATTATAGGCTTATGTGCCTTTAATACTACTAAGTATTTTTAGGTTTTGTTCGAGGAACTTCTTTTTGGTGTTCTTAATAAATATAATCTAGGATTGTCACCTCTATTGCCCCAAACTAAATACATCACACACGTCCGGAACCGGAGTTAGGACGGGTTTTATTATAATTTTAAATAATTTCAATGACATCCGTGTATAAAAGTAAAGGTCTCCCACTAAGATGGTCGTCAAAGCGGAACTGTTTGTTATTATTGTTTGTTGCATACATTCTAAAGGTCAAAGATTAAATAAACATTGTAATTAGTTTCAACATTGATGAAGGGCAATTTAAAAAGATTGTTCTAATAGATGAATTCTTTCTTAACCTTAAATCAATGTTTTCTAACTGATTTCTTTTTGCACTTGAAACCGTTACACAATTTTTTCTCCGTGAAAACGATTAAAGCTAAATTGTATCGAATTGAATTCAAATCGAAAAGCAAAATAAGTAAGAAATATCAGTGACAATATAAATATATAATATTGAAAAGATTTTGTTAAAAACATTAAGATTTATCACATCTTTTTCTAGCTATAAATTTTTATTGACGTAAGTAATTTGAAGAACTTAATGAAATATTATTTACTGTTGTTAAGAGGAGACACAATTATCGTCTATATACGAAGTCTGTATAAAATCACTTTTATTATATTCTATAACTAGTTATTATCCGAAACTCCGCCCTCTAGAACATCGGTGTTGCACTAAGACAGAAATACAGGGTGACTGGTGAATTACTATCGATATTTGAGGACGTGATATTTGACGATCATATATGACAAAATAAAAATTAATATAACATAAATATTAATAAACTTCTAAGTAAAGTTAACCAAAAGTTGTGTAATTAATTACGCATCGTATGAACACCCTACAGATTAGGTATACACACACACTCACACATACGCGGCGGGGGCGTGGTTTTGTATCAGCACGCCGCCGCACGCGTCCACACTTGGAACACTTGGAACGTATCAACACTTTATTTATTTATACGGAAATTTTGTCAAAAATTAAGTACCTATTTTTTTTACATAATTCGAATGAGAATCATGTACCGAGTATGCTCCTTAAATATTGATAGTAATTCACCAGTCACCCTGTATATGTATAAGAGTGTTAAAACAATTCATATAGTAATATAAGTTACAGCCTTTCATGTTAAATAACGTAGATACCGACTGCAGCCCCATCTGCCGGGCTGATTTGTGAATTTAAATCGTCTGGTATGCCACCAAAATTCATTCAAATTGGTTCAGTCGTTTAGAAGATGTTGAGGGGACATACACACGTAGGTACGCTAGAATTAGAAGAAGATATAACTTTTTATCGATTTCGATACAACTTTTTTATTTTATTACATTATTTAAATTATATACACATAATTATTTATGACAAATTAACGTCTACTATATATAATCATATTATTCTAGGATTTCTGATACTCTTAACAAAAAAAAACAAATGTTTAAACTCTTTAAAAATATAAGTATCTTAATATTGAACATTCAAAATGTACACAAAACGTATATAATCATATAATTTCCACTTTTTAATCGAATTAGTACAATATGGGTTGCATAACCTGAAGCCAGCTACATACTGGATCGAGGTAAGTCGATGGTTTCAACTATAGTTAACACCTTACTATGTGTGTCATAATGCTATTACAGTCACTGGATTTAAACGTCACTTCGAAAATATATAACAAATATAAAAATAACAACCCTTCTTCAATTCAAACAATTTTATTTAAAATTTTCGAATGTTTCTTTAATAAATGTATTAAATATAAATTAATGGAAGAATAACCACAATCAATTAAAGTTACATTAAGATCGATATTAAAATGTATATCTATAATATGTTTCATCTGTGCGTAATAACTTTAATCAAACAGCAGCGGAGTCAATGTGGTCCATTACAGAAAAATCAATTTCATGCTTTTACCGCAACATTCACAGTCACGGTTTGACGCCTTTTAAGCTAATTTCACTGTGGTGGAAGCTTGATGTCATATAATATTTTATTTTTAATATAACATCAATAAAAATATATCGAGGAACACTTGGAAGTGATAAGGAAATAATTAAATTTATATAATTAACAACTTATATAGAATAACGATCCGATACAAGCACTAATGTAAATCAATTAATAGATGATTCAGGTTAATATATTATAATGAAATGGTTCTTTATATTAAATAAACTAACTAATAAGATCTTTCGTGTTAGGGAAACGTATATAATAAAACTATAGATTACTTGTTATCTCTCTTTCATCTTAAACTCAGACTATATAAAAACCACTTATTAAAACGCGAACTGATGTCATTGACTCTGTGTTTCTTCCGTGTCGAGACTTCTTCCTTAATTCGTGCTATACCTACTGTTTAGTGTAAACGACCCTATGCGAAACTATTGTTATTAGTCACTAACAGATTTAATGAAGATCTAACTGACGTCTTCTTTTAACTACATGTACAAATGTATGAAAACTATATGGACCATTAAGTTTTTGCTAATATTTGGGGAAGTTAAAATTATGTATATGTATACAGACTGTCATACATATGACCGCTGTAGTCATATACATATTTGCATATATCTGTAATTAGCATAAGTTCAAGTACTAGAAGTATCGCCTTTTATGTAAAAGGATATCCTGGATCACATCACTTTATCCGCAGAACCAGTACTGTACCCTGTGGTCATACAAAAGAACTGGTCGTAGGTTGGAGCAAAAAAAGTGTGATGAATGTTTTAGAGATCTCACAAAGAACAACACGTTAATTCTTTGTCTGCTTTGAAATGAAAGAGAGAGGAAAGCGTTTTTTATTAATAATTAATTATTTCAAACAATTATCGTAATAATTTAATTTAGTAAAGGAAGAACTATTTTTAGATTCGTTTAAGTCGATTTGTTTAGTTTCAGAAAATGGGTCGGTTTTCCTGTAAGTCTATGTAAAGGTTTAATATAGAATTTGTTTATTCTTGATACGAGATTATTCAAAAATACATATTAAATAATTAATACTACAAAGTGAAGTAAAGTTACAAGGACGAATTTAAATATGAATAAAATGTCAAATATTTCGTCACTTCGGTATTTAATACAATTTATATTATTTTGTATATTTATGCATTGTAATTGTTGAAAAAAAAAACAGATACATATATCATTTCATCAAAAAATATGTTAAAATGTTTTTGGTTAGCAATAAACCGAACACAGGAATATTACAAAAAATAATAATGTAATGGTAGTAACAAATAATCTATATTGCAGTCAAGGCGACATACAAAAAGCTTATAGGAATAAAGTCTGTATAAAGGACGACAAAATTTTTGGAAGCTGTTCAAGGTCGCCGGCACCTACACACAAAATTTATGTTTGACTTTAAGCAAGGGACTTCGAAGCTTTCATCTGTTCAGATAGAATTATAATACAGTTATTCCATATACATAAGAAAATAATCATGAAGTATATAATGAATGGAACAAAAAAAATGAATATCGTACTGTATGTTTTATGGAAAAAAAGAGACATCTAATATTGGTTTAAAATTAACACAAACGCCACGTCATACTTGACCGATAAAGTTTTGGATTCCGAAATACGTCAGCTGTGATGAGTAAGTTGTAAATTCCCCCTTATCATCACACGACACAGCACGAGACTCCGACATTATTTCTTGTTACTACGTATGATTAAGCTTTAATATTTTTATTATTAAAATTAATACGTATCCTTACCTTACGGGTTGAGTATAATAAAAGACGTATAATATTTTTGATATAAAGATACAAGTTTGTATGTTTGTTTGTTAAAATTTATACGATAATCGCTGTAAAGGAAACTTTAAAGTCACGTGGAGTCATTATATATTATAATTAAAACATTTAACGGACAGAGGTGTAAGAAATAACTTGTTAAACATCTATGCTCAGTGTTCACTAATCGATTTACAACCACTAACCAATACAAACGAAATACGTAATTATTATTAAACAATATTATATTATATATAATTCTAGCATTAAGTACATAATATATAATTGCTAAAATACAGTATGTACTTTTTAAATACTAGCATATTATTGAGAACAATTAAACCAATGGGAAAACCAAATCGATATGTTCTGTGGCGTTTAATAAATAAAATGATATTTATTTATCTTTTTTAATAGTGAGGGGGAAGTATTGGGAGGGAAAACCGAGTTGAAAAGGTCATTAACGAACTGTTACAGTTGCGTTTTAACCCCACTGACAATATTTACAAGGCTGGTAAAAATTCTTCGAATCTCTCAATCATTAAGGTAAATGAAGATGGGATTTTTTCAAAATATTTTTGTTGCTTTGTAGTTGCTGTCATTTCTTAATAATATTTTTTAATATGAATTCAAAACGATGCTTTTATATCCATGTTGTTTTTTTTTCTATCTCGTCTAATATACCGAAAATCAAGCAAACAAATGGAATAGATAACTTTAATACATATGAAAATTTTAAAAAGAAAAAAAATGTATCATAAAATAATATTATCAATATATGAGCAGCAAAAAAAGAAATGGTAAATAGCCTTGACGTAGGTAAGTAATGTAGAAAGGTAAAATAAAATATAAAGAGAAATAGTTTATATTTTAAACAAAATTTTAAATATTAATTATAAAGACTGAATGATTACACATATGTAAGTTTATCGTTTCATTTTTATTTCCGATACATATGTAAAATAGAAATTGATTGATTTAGGAGATTTACTCGTATATATACACATCTAGTTATCAAGAACTTATGATTATGTAATATATTTTTAATTTTAATTTAATTGTTTTATAATGATTTTGTGTCACGGAAAATTTATAGATCTGTTACTCTTGGATGGACATTCCTCTTGAATAGAGAAAATTGGACATACAGTCTTAAATACGGTACATACCTGTAATGGCAGAATTGTAAACTTTATCAAAAATTGTTCGGCCATCCTATCCTAATAGAGTGAAAATTATTATGTATTAACTAATAAATGGATGTATATAACATTTGTAAGTTAGCCACATGTAAATTGGTTTCTTGTAAGGTTTTACCTAATTTAAAAGAGTTTTTTTTTGTTTGGTAATTAAATCAAAGCTCTTCACAATTATTTTCAAATTAGAAATACATTTTAATGAACTGGTCATTATGTCATTGTCATTTTAATTATCATTTGAAATATTGAAATTAATAAGACCATTGTATAAATATACAGGGTGACTGGTGAATTACTATCAATATTTAAGGAGCATACTCGGTACATGATTCTTATTCGAATTATGTAAAAAAAATAGGTACTTAATTTTTGACCAAATTTCCGTATAAATAAATAAAGTGTGTACACGTTCCAAGTGTTCCAAGTGTGAGGCCTCGGCCTCGAATCTCGCGGGTAGCGGGGCGGCAGCGGCGGCGGCACGAAAACGCATACATTTCTCCGTGCCCCCTCCCCTCTAGTTTGGAGAATAGTATGCGTTTCCGTGCCGCCGCCGCTGCCGCCCCGCTACCCGCGAGATTCGAGGCCGAGGCCTGAACGCGTGCGGTGGCGTGCTGATACAACACCACGCCGCCGCGCGCGTATGTGTGTGTGTACCTAATACCTAATCTGTAGGGTGTTCATACGATGCGTAATTAATTACATAACTTTTGGTTAACTTTACTTAGAAGTTTATTAATATTTACGTTATATTAATTTTTATTTTGTCATATATGATCGTCAAATATCACGTCCTCAAATATCGATAGTAATTCACCAGTCACCCTGTATATATAAATTTATACACATTTATCTTATATTTATAGTATATATGGAAGCGCAATTCAATACGCACTATTTTTTGTTTGATTATCAAATAAAAGAAGTTTCTGAAAAAAAGTAATAACGATCTTGCAAAATAAAAAACATTGCGCATTAAAATTGTATTGCAAAATATTATTCTTTTGAAAGGTCTACATTACTAGTTTTGGCCTGTGATTGCATTCACGTGAACTAAAAAAAATTATGCTCATTGTTGGCAGCGACATCTATCGTCAGCGTCACGTTACTTCGCCCTGTTATGTAAATGGAAACTAAAAGTAATTTCTGAATAAATTATACACTTTGTCTTATACTGTTGTTAGAGTTATATTAATGTAAAGTTTTATCAAAATCTGTAGAGTATTCTTTGCGTAAAAAAAAACAAACATCTATACGACAATGCATACAAACATTCAACCTAACAAACTTATGCCTTTATAATATTGGGATAATCATTTTTATCTTATTTTTATGATCAAACAGTGACACAGAAAGTACGATTTCAATAACTTTATTAACAGAAGGTATTAAGAAAACAAGAAACTATATATATCCAGTTAATAATAAATATACTCTACATGCTTTTAAAGCTTATTTTCATTGAATTCAAAATCTAAAACGTAGTCAGGTCGTCTTACTGTCATTATGTCGACATTATATGAATGTTTTGTAATTATAAAATAGTTTTTGTAATGCTAATAGAATAATTAGAGCATAATGTTAGAAGCTAAACTGTTCACTCAGACTTTTATAATAAAGAGATCAAAATAATACAGAACAAAGGAGATGTATGACGCTTGATTGTTATATAAGTACGTTGTACATTTAGGTAATGAGGTTGAAGCGGACGAGAAACGTAAACAATAGTTCAGATCCATCCCTTATACATGAGGAGTTTACAAACATACGTCCGATGAACGAGTTACCGGAATAGTGCTCGGACCTTGAGACAGATCGTTCACATTATATATGTGGATACATTAAAATTTATAGAGGGAAATACATATTGGATATGGATCGATGAGATTTTAAACCTATCTGTTTACTACACCTGGGGCCTACATGACACTAGCGTGTATATACATACATATGTACATATAATACATAAGATCTACGCACGGTTCTACCCGACGGTATAAGGTATCGTGCTTAAAGTATCCATGTCATTCGTAAAGCCAAATCTTCTTATAGAAATAATTCAAACGACAGGAGTTCACCAATGTAGCAAAAAAAGTGAGATACTGTGGCGTATAACTTTTTAAAGATGCAATTATTATTTTTTTTTATCCATTATTTTCATCTAATATAATATTAGAAATATATAGAATAAACAAGTATCATACTCAGTACTCACCCTAGTATAACCAGCTCCCCGTATTTAACGAGAGGCTTCGGCTTCTGTTCAGAGCCGCTCTCTCCAGCCTCCTCTAGTATCGGTGAGTCCGCACTGTCCGCAGCACTGAAACAAATGTATATTAAATTAATACTAAACATTAAAATACAGTATAATTAATATTTTATACATTACAAGAACGTATAAAAATAAAAGAGACCAAAGAACAGAGTATGTATTATGTTTGTGTTATTCCACTAAGAAATCCAGACAATGTTAAACCTACAATTTACAGAGAATGTTAAGGGAGAGAAAAACAATAAAATGAGGAATTAATAGTGGAGACTGATAAAGGTTATTGAATATACATATGTAATAATAAACTTACATAAATATTACACAGTAAAACATATATATAACATTTTAAATGTATGTTTACATTAAGTCTAAAAGTTAAAACTAATTATAAAATTAAAGCCATTTCAAAAGAATGCGAAATTCGTGACCTAACATTCTGGTAGATTACATACCACATGACATAAAGGTCAACATATATAATAATATTATTTCATAAAACGAGCAGTTAAAATAATTTCTTATAATAATAGAAAAAGCAAATGTAACAAACAAAACAATTGAATATTCAAATGTTTTAAATAACAGCTTTACAAAAGAATAGAAAGTCGAAGAATACTGACGGAATGCTCGAGTTACTGAGGAAGTCGTACATCATATACTACGTGTCCGCCCATAACATAAATACTACCCACAGTTTATACAACCGAAATCTTGATCATAGGTCAAGTCTATCATTAAGAGAACTGATTTGTTACAGCTCTGGGTCAACATTCATTCACGTACAAAATCGAAAATAGTATATACCATTAGAGAAATTACATCAAATATAATTATAGATGTATCTAGGTAATTGCGCATTTATAAAGATATCGTTAGCCGTGACCAAAGACCCGCGGGTCAAACAAATTGAACCGTGATAAGTTCCTTATTACGAAAGAAATACTTCATATGACAGGAATTATATGAGAAAATAAAAGTTACATCATTTCTTTTTTCATTAAAAAAATGATAAAGAACTGGTGAAGTACGCCGTGTATTTTAATGTTTACAATATTCTGAAATTCTATGTTTGATAAAATTTGATTTAGTTTTATGTATAACATTTACTAAAAGCTTAAACTGCTTAATTAATCTAATAATTTCTGATTTTGTTTAAACAGGTAGATAAAAACTTTAAATATACATAATATATGTTTTTACTAACAAGAATCAGTGTACATTTAATATGAGCAGTTTTAATTAATCATTTAACATGTTTATTTACATTGTACATAGACGTAATATAACTCCATCATCTCATGGGGGTCGGTCGAGATAAGATTGCCACATGCTACGTAGCAGACATACCAGCATCAATTGCGAAAACAACACATAGCTTTAACCAACTATAAGTAGGTAGGTTTAAAGAAGTTTATTTCCAAAAAGAACAGAGTTCGCTTACAAAGGAAATTTTAAAAACTATAACTACAATTACAAATAATAAACAATAGTGATATTAAACAAGATCAGTGAAATCTTCTAATATATGGGGGTTCTTAATCGTTTTTTAAATATATTTAGAGATTTTGAATGGACAAGGTAACATTCATATCTCATTTATGGTTCACAGACTTTTTTCTTCTTGGACATTGAAATAACAGATGATGAAACTTATAACTATTGAAAGGTAATTTCACTTTACCATATTATATATAAATATGTTATTTGTACATATATTTTATTTCATTTACTTATATAGTAACGTGAAGTGACACTTAATAGTTTTCGTTATCACGAGAGTCGTAATAGAAACTTATCAAGTATTACTTGCTATATTCATTTACAGGTAATATACATATCAAACCTGTGAATTAAAGTTATTATGTAATTTTTATTATATTTAAGTACCGACATTATTATTTACTAAAAGGTTAAGAACTATTCGTATTTATTTCATACAAATGTATTCATTGTTAATGTTAAGTGTATGTACTATAAATATGTTAATACATTTCATTCTTTTCAGTATAAAAAATGCAGATTTTTACCAATTTTAGACTTTTATTTCAGAGAAATAATATTTTTTACGTATTTAACACGAAACGAAATTGGAATAAAAACTATTCATATCATTCCTGTTATATTCCCGTTTTGAATAAAACTTCTGTAAGCCCAACTATCACAAGTGCGTAGGACTAAAGATACTTTTTACCAAAGTAAATAAATATATGTATGGCGATCAAATTGAACGACTGTTATAGCGAATGAGTTCTCTAAGTGGTTTATCGATCGTATACGATAAGATATGTCCGTGACTGCACTCAGTCAACAACTGGGTCATACAAACTCTAAATACATACATCCACTTATCTGATCTTTAAGTACAAAGCGGCATAAATAACTGGGCTACCCCGGCGCAGACGGACGGGGATATTTAAAATTAAAAGAACAAAAGAATATAAGCGCTTGGTTTTGATTAAACGTGAGCTTGGAATTTCTTTAAGCGCTGGTATAAAAAGCTTTATTTGAATCGCCGTGAATCTTGGCAAAGGGTCAGAACTGGCTCGGTCCCTCTCTTAGGCGCTACTCTACAAAATTGTCTTTTATTACGTATTCTCTTTGTCGGCGGACTCGTTTTTGTTGTAATCGTTTTCAATTTTAAGTTTCAATAGAATGATACTACTTTTAAACTATTATAAGTATTACTTTCCAATCTTTCATAAACAAAGAAATATATTGTAAGGAAAGTTGTTTTTTTAATATCCATTATGTATAATTCGTCCGAGACAAATTTGAACTTCTGTTTCACATCTAATGAATGCCAGTACAAATTCTTTATACAAATTTAAAAACATTTGCTATTTACAACCGGTTTAAAACTTCAAAATAATCGCTATAAAAGTCAGAATGTTATAAAATATTAAATCGTAATCATCTTGTGTCAATAGGAAATGAAACGTAACAATTGTCAACCTTCTGCATATTAACTAAGTTGCAACTACGTGTTATATTTGACCTAAGTAGGTACTGTTATGAATGACCAATTGCCTTATATATAATTTTTCGTATCAGTTATAAGACGGCTATTATTCGGCTTACACGCAATTTTTGCTCTAAATCAATTAAATATTACTCGTTTAATTCGTGGTTTCATTACGTTACCAGGAATACTGAATTAGTAAATATGAGAGCGTGAAGAAAAATTCATAGGTTTTTTTCTGGGCGTTTTTTTTTTTATATTGAATTAAATTTATATTGAATTGATTGGAATACTTCACCATACCAGATATCGGGGGTCGGCGATACTAGACCATATTTTATTGATTATATCAAGTACTACAGTCGAATAGAAATGTCATTATATTATGTAGTGACTAAACACATTGAGGAATTTTCACTGAGTGAAGTTTTATACGTGTGTCAATGTCGTAGTGTGTGTAATGTTTATATTAGATAATTTAATGTATTTCTTATAAACTCTATATAAAGAATTGCATTGTGTATTTCATGTGCATATAAACTTTGACTGATGTTAAATTCTCTTATAAAAGGATACCAAGTTTTCGCTCTACGTATCTACCATAATGACTAATTCTCAATGTATAAATGAAAATCTACATAGTTCATCAGTCACGAAAGAAAAAGTACAAAAGCAACACGAAAGATAAAGATTTAACGACTATGTTAAAATCTATTTCCGTATCCGATAATCATAGAATCCGCGGATCCATATATTTTTAACGACCCCGGGCACCATTCAATCATTACGTCACGTCCGCAAGGTATCTCGTGACGAAAGCAATCTAGTCCATTTACATGTCTGCTTTTAATTACATCTGCTTCCTAGTCTCGACTTGGTCTGCAATTTAATTGTGATTGCAATAACATTTTACACGTCCATCACGGAATGGTCTTTATCAAGATGATAATTAATTCCGGGTTAAATAAACTAACAATACTATTGTTTGTTTCGTTTAAAGATGAACGCCTTAAACTTTCTGTTATGTTATTAAATGTTATCGACTTAATAACTAGATTTGTATATAAATATTGTTTCATATCATGTATTTAAAATGTACATGATATTATATATATTGTTTCTTTATATATATAATTTATATAGTACGGTTTCTTGTATGAGGTAGATATAATTCATAAATTATTAATATACTATAAAGATACGGATTTCAAACATTTTAATTGATTCAGTACTGAATCCAATTGATTTCAATGTGTTATTATTAAATTGAACATAGCTATATGTAAGTAAATCACGCTATACGTATGTTATACTTGTCCAATATAATCTTGATCCCTCTCACGTTGTAATCGTATCGTATGAATTTCCAGTTATTATATGATAGAAATTCTGAGTATTGTAAATTGTAATGAATCAGCAGGCTGCGATGTCGCCCAGCGTCCGTTCCGTGGAAGCCCACGGCTATACGAACAACGGAAGTTTACGTAAAATAACGCCTACGTGTTAGGAATATATTGAGTCATCGGTGCAAGAGTACTCGGACGCGGTTATAACAAATTGAAGCTTCACATAAATATATTATAAAAGTTACTTGTGTATGTCTGCACATCACTGGCGGACGAATAAACATCTGGACGGTTTTAATACTTTGAAGTTTTGTATCAACTGATATGATAGCATCACTATACACGCGCATTGCACAGCTCTGAACAAAAATTATTTTCCATACAATAAACATAAAAGTTCTTAACTTCATTCACGTATCGTCTGCCCGTGATCACGGTTGCTGCAAAGAAACCGAAACGTCAGGAGTATGTAATCTTTTTTAAATAATAAATTACGCGTACTTAGTAATCCGAAAATAATACATTCATCTATAAAATAATTTTTGGTTTGTTGTGGTACTGAAACTTAAATTTGAGCGGAACAAAATATTCTTAGAAAGACATGAGGATACAGGGTTTATAAAAATCGTTATGGTTAATACCTCATAAGTCATAATCGTTCCATCAATTGGAAAATTACAAATGGTGAAATAAATTACTATTGAAATTGTTATTATATTCAATACAATGGGCAGTGTTGCAAAGACAATATTAATATTTGATAACAGCGGCTTTATTAAAACATTACGCATGTTATAATATGAGACGTCTTAATGGAAACACTATGACCACTGTACAATAAATAGATCTAAGTCTTTATTATTAATAGACTTACTACATACTAAATTACATAATCGTTTAAAACAAAACATTAGTGCGGTTTTAGTTTCTCACGGCACGATGTAGGCTCGATTTAGTCAACCCAACTTTCTACATGAGACGATAATAGTTAATGCTTAAGTCACTATTAGACAATTACCTGGCCTTATTGTTTTAATGTTTTATTATAAAGTTAAATTATAAAGGCATTTAATTCTTTCGTTCATTCATTATTGCCCAAACACGGAAAAAGGACGCAAAAAGGATGCCTAAGATTTTGTATTTGATCATATAATTTTATAGTATTTTGTTCTATACACGTATTGTATACAGTATGTGCAACAACTATTTTCAACTCAATTATTTTAACTTCAATATATAACGATAAAATCTAGATTATAATAACAATGATATATAATTTATATTAACAGTGCTTTCTACGTGAGAGCCCTTTCTAGACCGGGTATTAGAAAGCGGTAAAGTTTAACCACAGACGGTCACCCATTTGATAGTGAAGTATCGAGACAGAGAGAACTTTGTACTTAAGGATAAATAACATTAATGAACTCTGCTATATAGGATCACCTCTTCGATAGTTCGTTATGTATAATAATTTTAGTGTATAAAACCATTTCTATATTTACATATTATAATTGTAAAATTAGTTTTACTCTCGGTTCCGATACATACTATTATTTTCTATAGCCTAGTATTTATTGTAATTTTTATAATTTATTTATTCACTATAGTTCACTAAATTTAAAAAATCCGTTTTCAATTTGCTCTATTCCTGTCATGTATACTAGTAAATTTAATTTAAATATAATTTTGAAGAACTCTTTGGAACTATTTATTCTGTTTATTCCATGAAATATGAAAAATATGAATACAAATTAAAACCTTTGATTTTCACATAATAAATATTAGATAGAAACAGACTATATTTAATCAAGTACAAATCAGAAAAGCCTGTAATTTTTTTGGAACAAAATAAGCCAGAATAAAGAAATGTTAGTAAAAAGATTTCCTTTAGTTTTTTATTGATTATAATTTTATCGTATAGCAACGAACTCAAACGAAAAGTTGCCGTAATTATAAGAGATATTTCGTTAGTCACAGATAAAGCAATAAACCCTCGTGTAGATTGAACTTAAATCTGAAAAAAAATACCAAGTGCCGTAGCCGGCAGTTAGATTTTTATCCGATCGCCGGAAATTAATGCAGAAACGAAGCGAATCACATGAAGCGTGAAACGAATCTTTGAAAAAAACGATCTGACTTATGACTGTAGTCAATTTGAAAAAAATAATTACAGTTTAAGTAAGTATTTCGTCATTAAAATACAGAAAATTAATTTAAACGTTGAATTAATTTTTTATTTTATGGACACACAATATACGTAGTAGTATAATTCTTTGATAACTTCTAACACAAGTTTAATATTTGTAAGAAAAATATTTGCACATTCAATTTACGGTCGCCACATTCAATACTTATTGGACATTATAAAATATATATGTACCTAATACCAACAGTTTTAAATGAATGTTCAATATTTATTCTATTAATATATATTTTTATACCAAAAGCAATCGAATGTTCATCGAACTAAACAATTAGATTAAAAATTTCTTAAGAAGTGGGTACGTAACTATTTTAAAGAATATAACGCGTGCTTCACACGCGATCCAATAATAACCTACAACGAAACCTTGTCCGTAATACGTACACGCTTTTCCAAGGATTAAAAAAAATACAATAGCGTTGTAATGTTTTCCGTTTTATAGATTTTTTTTTAAATCTTCTAATAGTTACTACAGATCTTGCAAAAGCAAAGGTCCTATACATAAATCTGCATTAAAGAGTTAACTCCGCAGTATTTATAGTCGTCCTTAAAACCTGAATTTGGCACTTCGGAGTGCACTCTATAAGGCCAAACGAAGGGAGGTCAACGACCTCGTATATGTCGACATCGTGCGTGCGCGATGCAATGGAGGGTTGACCTCCCGGTAACTCCACCAATAAAGACGGCATACCCTCTAATATAGGAATCATGGGACCGAGTTGGCGTCTTAAATGTATCGGGTAATAGGCTTGGCGCGTGCCGAGGGGCCAGGAAAACAGGGGTTAACTTCATTGAATAATTTATTGTAATTGCAAAACCGCCGGGATGACTAAGACATGGTTTGTGTCTATAAAAAGCATACAGACTTATTGTCAATTAAAAATATGCCTAATAAGTTGGGCGGCGGCTTGTAATTAACAAGCCCTGATGTAATTTATATCTAAGTTATAACATTAAGTGTCTCGGGAGTAGAGCCGCCGTCGGGGAACAGAACATCTGCCGTGCAGGTGTCAGTGTGGGCAGGTGGAGATCTGACGGATATTACGACACGGGACTAAGATTTGAGCTACACCGGTATTATTCCTTATTGAAATGATTTTATTTTTATATTACTGCTTAAATAACTAGACACTACAAAATTTTATGCTTGGCGCCTTTGAAAAAATCTTTCATTCATGAAGTAAATATCTTAAAGTTACGAGTGTCTTAGTTACTCTATTTAATGCACTATATTTATCCGTGACCCACTTTTTCTGCGGCCATAAAGTATTAATGTTTTCTGTATAATTTTGAATTACCTTTCATTATGGACGTCAAAAGTTTACGACTGCTCATTAAAAAAACACGTATAAAAAGTTTGGCTATGTTCGTTTAAAATGAGGGTATAAACATCTGTTTGAAATCTATGAACTAAAAAAATTATCATAAAAATAAAAACTTTTACAATCATACTAACTTTATGATATATTCATAATTATAGTTTTTTAATTTTACGTGACATTATAAAGAAATTTCATGTGATTCATTTTCAATTCAAGTTCAACTGGAATGAGGAAGTGAATAGAAATTAAATTTCATTCATTATAACCATTTACAAAAAGAAATTTGTAATTATTGTCTTGTGAATAATTTGATAATAATAAATGATGTTTAATTATTATGTATCCATGATAAAAATACGAAATGAAATTAGCCATACATATCAAATTTTTTATTTTGTCTTTTCTTATACCCTATTTGTTATGTTATGTATTACATGCTCTATTGACTATCTATTTACAAACAAAATTTCTTACAAATTGCTTCAGAAATTCAGTCATGAATAGACATATTTCGTAAATTTATGTCATAGGACATTAATATAAATAGGACATTAAAATTTTTAGATAGGATTAATATTTTTAATTCAAATAAAATGCAACTTTTCTATCATTAATTGTCTTGTATATTGACCTACAATATTTTTATTGTCCAGTTGACATTTTATTTTGTTTCAAAGGTGACCGTTGCAAGCAATGAAGACAAATTATTTAGTCATAAAAGTATTTAGATTCATTTGAAGAACTTATAGATTTAGAAAAGCGATTCATTCAATTATTCTGACTAAAGAAAGGTTAAGAAAAATTTTAGTTTGTGACTGTAAAAGAAAAAAGTAGGTATATTTGTGCCTGTTACTATACTCAGTGTGGAGTGCTTTATAAAATTATAATTGAACAGGGAGAGATGACATCTAACATTTATTTTATAGCTAAATATATTGACAAAACAAGCAATATATATATGAGACAAAACTTCTTAGCCTGCCATGGATTCACCATTCAGATGCCCGTAAAAGGCTCACTTCCACTATCTGAGCTCCTCTCTCTACCAAAACAAATTTTAAACACACTTACTGTTTTATTCAAACATTATTTTTGAAGTCAAGATAAGAAAGGACTTATACATGTTTTTCTTTCTTAACTTTTCCCTTTATATAAGTAAAGTTTATCAATATCTTTTATTATAGTTTATCAATTTCATATCATCTTCTTAATCATTAAGAAACAAATTCAAAAAGAAAAAAAAAAAGAAAAAAAATATCTAAATTTCACAATTAATCTTGACTAACTTATTTAAAATTATTATGATAATGTGATAAAGGAAATGCTATCTTATAAACTCAGAGTTTTTTGCAACAATAGTTATAAATAAAACTATGACAATTAAATTCAATAAACTAACTTTTTCATTAATTCCTTTTACACTGTAGCATATTATGGTAATTAAAAACAATGATGCACAGTTAACCAAAATTAATTTTATTAGCTTAAAAATCATTTTGATTAAGCTTATTTTTAGAAACAAAAGTTATTATCATTACTTAAGCCACATTCAACATAAAACTATTGATTTAGACCCTTATGTACACATTCTTAATAAACAAACTCTGCTTTTATTTAATCTATGATAATAAAATGTTTTAATAATATTGGTAGCAATGAACACTTTTACAAGCTATAAGAGGTTTTTGTTTTTCTTTGTTAATTTTTTAATACATATAGCCAGTTTTATTGTATGATAGTTTTCATAAAAATGTTTTAACAATTATTTAATGGAAAAACATTCATATTACCTTTAAAATTTCATACGCAATTGTGTCTAATAATTGATTCTACAATTCTTTCGATATCATAAGATTAAGATTTTAAGCGCAAAGTGAAGCCATACCAAAGATTTATTGTTTATATATTGTCCTATACATTATTTTAATAAAAACATTACTGACGCGATCAACAATGATAAGAGGATAGTTGATAGGACAATACAACGTAAACAAACATTTATACACTGTAATTACTTATTTGACGTACGTTTAAATAAAACCAAACATATTAACAAATGCATAACAAGAAGCCTATACACTACATGTTACAAAGGGAGTCCATAAAACGCAAAAGCATTCAAATGAGACGCCACTTTAATTTTTCGAATATATCCTACATAATGTAGATATAAGTATTGCCTAGTTGAGTAAATTGGTGGGTAAAAATGTACAAGTCACAAAGATACCTACATAATAACAAAATAAAAGTATTTTTAAAGAAACACCACGTTGTAATAACTTACCGTTTTACGACCATGATAGAATCCGTCTGCTCGTTTATGGACCCTATGATTCGAATTATGTTTAACAAACGACACTAATTTTATTGAAAACACCATGAATTACAGAAAGACACCGTCAAAACAATTTAATCAATTCACACATCGCTAAAGAGCGATAAATTCACTATTTTTCATTATTCCACTGGCCTCGCTCTACGCACACTTCACTTAGTGACATTAATTTTTTGTTACTTTTTGTTTATATACTCTTCAGCTTTACAATAAAATCAATGTATAATTATTAAAACAAGCACAGTACAGGTTTCAGATGAGGAAACTGAAATCCGTAAACACAAACTATGTTGCGGTTGTGTTGTAGGTTAACTGAAGACAACTTCATTACATTGCCACCAGCATGAAGTTAGCGAATTTTATATACCAACATAACAAACAAAATAATGCAATCCCATTTTAATCTATGACAATATCTATAACTTTTATGTCTAATTTTATACATAATATAAGAAAGTGTAAATTTAAATATGTACTTTATAAATGTCTCAATTCTCATTATTTTTATTTAAATAAGATATATTTATGTAGCCTGATAAAAAAATATACTGTACGTTTCATCTCTAATAACATAGAGAAAAACACTTTTTGAGTCAACTGAGTATTTTTGCCTTTCTTTTTTTTATTTAGACAATTTTTTTTTGAAAGAAAATTAAAAAAAAATCATTTTACAATTCTTTCATGAAAGAACCGGTTTTAACAGAATTTCTCATTTTCACATGTACAATTATATTGCCAATATAACATTTATGACTAACTTGTACTTAAAAATCATATAGTTTGTCGCAGTCTTCAATACTTGAAACGTCGCTGTGAAGGTATTAGTGATAGAAATTAAATTTAAAATTCGAAAAAAAAAAGAAACCAGATTCCTTATTATGAAGATTTTTTTAAATAATTTTATTCGCCTTTAAAGCTATAAGGATGAGAAGATTTAAAAGATCTCTGAATATAGTTTCAGTTTTATTTTGAATGCCTATATTTTACTACATTAGTTATGAAAAGTAGTATTCTAACATTCATGTTAATGGCCATATTTATAATGACAAGGTTTTTGGAAATATTTTTTCAAGAATAAAATTTTATTATTTGATATTTCCCGTTTCCTGTTTACTCACGAATTATACAAACAATGATCATATAAACTTAAAAAGCCCATAGGTATTTATTTTTACTTCAAAAATGACAAGTTCTTATAAAAAAAGGTTCAATTGAAAAGTAATAATATTCTTAACAACTTATCTATTCATTGTGACAACTTCTTAAACTGATTTTATTTAAATTTGATAGAGATACAAAAGTTGGACACCTGTAGGTAATTTTATATCCTAATAAATGTTTATTTACATCCTAGTTATCAAAACCGAATATTTAGGTTGTATGTATGAGTATAGATAATACACACAGTCACACACATATACATTAACTAAGCTTGAGGAAAATTTATTTATTTTATTATACAGGGTGACTGGTGAATTACTATCGATATTTGAGGACGTGATATTTGACGATCATATATGACAAAATAAAAATTAATATAACATAAATATTAATAAACTTCTAAGTAAAGTTAACCAAAAGTTATGTAATAAATTACGCATCGTGTGAACACCCTACAGATTAGGTATACACTGACACTCACACATACGCGTGTCGTGACGTAGTGTTGTATCAGCACGCCGCCGCACGCGTCCACACTTGAACACTTGGAACGTGTCAACACTTTATTTATTTATACGGAAATTTTGTCAAAAATTAAGTGCCTATTTTTTTTACATAATTCGAATGAGAATCATGTACCGAGTATGCTCCTTAAATATTGATAGTAATTCACCAGTCACCCTGTATAATAGTACACTCGGCTTTTTGAATATAAAGTTGTCTGTACATTGCTATCAATTATATTAGATAAACAATTCTTTTCATAAAACAAATATACACATACCTTTGTCTGAACAAGTATAAAAACATGGAAGATAGAATTTAAACACAGTAGTGTAGATAATTTATTTTTATGGTACACCTTAGAAAAAACAGATTATAATAAAAAACGTATAAATTTAGAATAAATAACTCGCACGCACAGTGCTTCAAAACATGTTTAATCAGATCAAAAGTGGGACTAAATATTACCTTATTTATTTTATTTGCTATATTTAAAACTAAGCGGGAGAAATTTGATACACATTATTTTTATTAACGTTAAAGCTAATTAATACTTGCAATTATAACTAAATTTGCTTAAAAATAATTAAAAAAAAAGTCTTATATGTCATTATTAAACATTACAGTAAAAACTTATTATGTAGATATAATAAAATGTGTCTCTTTTTGGTAATAACACAATAAATAACTTAATAGCTGTTATATTGTTTTTAGTTTTAATATTATCGTTACGTAAAAAATTTAAATGAGACATATTAAAAGTTAAATTAATTACTTTTTTTACAGCTTTATTCCAAAAAGGTTTAATACAGTGATAGTAATATTATTAAAAATAGAACAAAAATGTATACAGATTATGGAACCATATAAATAAAGGATCTTGACAGTAAATATTTTTGAGAAAATACATTAGAGTTAAAAAAAACTTAACCTTGTCAATGATATTATACATTTGAATTCATTTCATTTACCATTTTGTTCTATATTACTTACAGAATAAAAAGTAGCAAAGTCAAACAAAAAGGTTTCCCTGTTATGAGAAATAATACCAATTTGAAATCATTTCTTACTTTGGAAGCTGAATATTTACAAGTATAACAAATTTATAGAATAATATCTAATATATATAAACTACTAAAAATATACAATCTGTTCCTTGTTTTTCTACTAATAGAAAATTAAATCAAATATATCAGCTTGTGTTTGTTCTATGTAGTGTGATAAAAAAAAATATTGAGTCCATTTATAACTAAAAATAATTTTAAAGATATCTTCATGATTTTATAAATACACTACACATTAATGTACTTATAATACAATGGAAGAACTACTATTTTAAACGCACATTTCACATATAAATATGTTGCAGTCTCAAACTCACTACATAGCATTTTAAATTATTAAAAAAACATACTCAACTGTATTAAGACTTAAAAATTATGGAACTTTAAAATTAAAGAGAGTTTACATCACATGACATGATCATTATAATATAATTCTAGACAAACTATGTATTATACATATTTATTGACAGTCTAACTTTTTAAAACATAAATTCAATTAGTGCTGCATCATAATCATGTATGAATTTGTATTTCATTGTTTATACACTGTAATAGAACTGATATTTTTTAAAAAGTGAGGTTTTTTGTAATCACTGTCAAACAAATTTTTTTTTTCATTCAAAATTCTTCCTAAAGAAAGAATTTCGTCAATTTTTAACATAGTAATATAGGTTAACTGTATAAATATATCCACAGTAGAGTCAGTGTTAATATTCTTCGTAGTCATAGTATTCGTCATCGTTTCCATTCTGTAGGAGCGCCGCTAGCGACATCTCTCGACTGTCGACCGGTTCCTCAAAGTCATCTTCATAATCATCTGCATCTATATTATAATATATATTATTTATTACTATTCTAATGTTTAACTTAATATTAAACAATTTTATATAAAAACAGTATCTTGTTTGCATTTTACTTCATCCCAATATACATATACTGTAATTAAATTTTGATATATGACAAAAGATTAATATTATATATAGAAAGTCTAAAACATGTCAAAATCAGTATTATATGCTGATAAAAGTAATTGTAACGTATAGAACAAAAAAATACTATTGTAATATTATATGTAGAAAATGTAAAACCTGTTAAAAGCAGTATTATGTGCTGATAAAGCTACCATAAATAATTATAATGAAATCTTACTCTGTACTGGTGTTTCTGGTGCAGGGGAGGGCAAGGGGTCCGCGGGGGAGGGCAAGGGGTCCGCGGGGGAGGGAAGAGGTTGCGCGGGAGAGGGGAGGGCTTCTCCCGGTGAGGGCCTCGTAGAAACTGTAGCAGGAGAAGGTGCTGTTTTCTCCTTCCGTTTCCGCTTCTTCGGCACCGGCGATTGTGGCACCGTCTCGATTATTGGCGGTTGGATTGTACTAGAAGTGTTAATGAATATATAATATTTTATACTGAATGGAATGCAGCTGTTAAGTTTTATAAAATAGAAATAAAAAACAAGTATAAGTCCGATGTGAGATTTTATCGTATACTAAATTATTCTGGTGGTATAACAGAAACAAAATTGTGACTATCCCATAAATTAAATAAGAGGACATTAAATTTTATTTAGAATCTCTGACAGTCAATAATAATTTATACAGGGTGACTGGTGAATTACTTTCGATACTTGAGGACGTGATATTTGACGATCATATATGACAAAATAAAAATTAATATAACATAAATATTAATAAACTTCTAAGTAAAGTTAACCAAAAGTTGTGTCACACGCAAACATCGTGTGAACACCCTGCAGATTAGGTATACACACACACACGCGTGCGGCGGCGTGGTGTTGTATCAGCACGCCGCCGCACGCGTCCACCCTGGAACACTTGGAACGTGTCCACACTTTATTTATTTATACGGAAATTTGGTCAAAAATTAAGTACCTATAATAATAATAATAAGTATTCTTTATTGTACACCAAAGAATAAATAAATTATACAGTATAAAACTTGATCAAAATGTACAATTGGCGGCCTTATCGCTATTTTTTTTACATAATTCGAATGAGAATCATGTACCGAGGAGTATTCTCCTTAAATATTGATAGTAATTCACCAGTCACCCTGTATATCGCAAAAATCGTGATTAGTTTGTCAGTTTTATAATATAATCTATTTTATAATATGATACTAACCTAGTTTCCTCTACAGGCTTCACAACATTCGCCGGCTGTACACTGGGCGACCCAGGATGATCCAGACTCTTCAATATGTCGTAATTAATTTTGGAGCTCATCTTTTTTTCCGCCAACATCTTCCCCACAGCCTCGCCGGCGGTCGCTCCAGTAATGGCCACCTTTTTCTTGTATGATCCACGTGTTTTCTTCTTTTTGTCTTTGCCCTCTTCCCGTTCTTTGGCGCGTATTTCTTCTTTAACTGTAAGTTTTTTTAAGAGAAATTAATTGGCTATCACATAGGACCAACACATTGATAAGTAATATTTGCTGTAACTACGATTATCACAGTTCACATGTTCACCTAATTACAGATAGTATCAGTTAAAAAATCATTATTCTCAATGCAAGTTTACTATTGAATGACTGTAAACTATCTATGTTTAATCTTATGATACAATCTTGTCCTCAGGGTATTGTTATCAAGACTGGTTCCTATGGAAGCCAAATAAAGTAGAATTTCACGAAGCTTATAAAACATACATAGAAAAAGATATTACAAAACTTCTAATAACATAACCATACATTAGAATCTTTATTAATAAAGAAACTATTATCTTGCACTAACTTTTCTGTTCCTTCAAATATCCAGCGTTAATGTTATGCCATAGCAGAATCTTATGTCGAGCCTCTTCTTCGGTCATGATCAGTGAGTCAAGGTACTGTTCATCATCATCATCCAGATGTAGTTCATCCGCTTGCAGGTCCTTCGTAAACTGCTTGGACTCCGGTTTCGATTTTTCTTTTTCTTCGGGTGGATTCAGACCCATAAAGGCTATCTCTGGACCTGATATCATATAGAAATAATATAACAATCTATTTACAATGAAATAATTGTCAAGATAAACGCTGGAAAGTATAAAATACCACGAATATCGTTAATAAATATCTTCTAAATTTGTGCAAAGATTATAAATGGACGAACTATTTGGTATATTATAAGCTTTAGAGAAGATTCCAAGCAAAGAGAAGTTTTGCTATCTCCTGTCAGCAATATTTCAGCCTATGGATTGTTAAGACGCAATGCTTAAACGGCATTTTATTTTCTAGGTAGTAATTTTAGAAACGACAAGTATTAGAGGTTTCCTAATTCTACAGCGGAACAAAACCTATCAGGAAATAAGGTAACTCTCACTAGCTCCTACAGTCCCTGCAAGAAAAATCTGTTCTATTTGACATTAACCGTTGCAACCTTCAGCACTTTTATTTTAGTCCAACAAATGTTCCCACTTATCGTAAGTGACGTATAAGACCCGTAAAAAATCCAGTAACATAATATAGACAGGATTTTTCCGGTTTTGGACCAAACTACATTGAATATCGTTAAACCTACTGATTAACAGAAAAATTTCAGGATGACAATGGGATAAATTCCAAAAGTAACCCTCACGAAAGCTTATATATATGATAGAGAACTCTAGTACAATAAAATATTCCACTCACCAAGTCCTTTTTCCAGTTTAAGTTTCTCATTATTACCAGCCTCGCTAGTTGGCTGCACGTCCCTCGCTATATCACCTATAAGTGACAACGTATCTTCTGTCGCGAATCTAGTCGCTTCAGCGTCTTCTGATGTATCATCGTCAGCGGCTGTAATGGAAAACAAATAATTATTATTCGTCTTAAATATATTACTAATGTATACTTTTGTATCAAAGGCTCAAAAAATTTGTATGAAAAGAATTCTAGTCATAAGAGTCTAGAATTTAAAGTATATTTTGTTATCTCAGATAGTATGAGTTTTTCTCCTTACATGGCGACAGTATAGGCGGGACTATCTTTGTGGGTTTTCGTCTCTTCTTGTCTTTATCTAACTGAGCGTCTATTTCTCTTTGCAGCTCTGTGAGTTCACGTTCGCCATCTTCCTCTTCCATTAACTGAAAAGAACATTTAATTAACATTAATTTTTAAACTGATATAAATGAGATCTAATTGAAAAGATAGACATGACGGAGTAAGTTTTCTCAAAAAAAATTGAAAAATCACGTTTAGATCGTACAAAGTTATTAAACATATGCTTCAAATAACAATAAAATAACCAAATCTTTTTGTTACGTTTGCTACTGTGCTAGAAAGGAAAGTGTATTTTTCTTATCTCTAAGCCATACTTTTTTCAGAAATATTTTTCAATACTCAATTCGTTGTGGAGTAGAAGCAGAATTGTAACCTTAATTATTAAATCCTATCAAATACCAGTTCACTACTTCAAATAGTTTTCTTTTAAAAGAATCTCAAAAACTCTTGAGTGATGTGTGTGTATAAAATAAACCTTAACATTCTTATATTGACGATTTCCTCTCCCAAAAACTTTAAAAAAAGTATAATTCTACGATTTAGAAAGTGATTTATTAAATAGTTATACATTTTTCTCGACATTTCGATTACTTTACAGCAGCCTCAACATTCTACCATAAAAAATATTTCCTTCTGAAATAAGCAAAATGTGGATATTGCTAATTTCTTCATACGTCCTATATTAAGTGGGTTACTTTCGTTACCTTCTGCAGCCTGTCTTTGTCCCTCCTCCTGGCTATTTTAAAGGCTGGTGGGTCCTGTTCCTCTTCAAGGTCAACTGTCATAAACTCGTCTAAAGTGAGGGCGCTGGACGGAGTCTCCCCAAACTCCAAGAGCCGTTTCCTAAGCGTTGTTTCATGAATCTTCACGATACGGACCACGTCAGTTGGTGTTCGTGAGAAGTCGTGCAGTCGAGCAGCTATTAGGAGGGCTGAAAGAAAAAATATTGGTCTTTAACGCACAATCAACCAACAGGTTAACCATTTAAAATATAGTCACGATATATGAATAACATAATCAAATTAGATCATATTACAGAGTTATACATTGTATTGATTTAAAGACATTTTGTATACTTTTTGTTACATTAATAAAAAAATATTATATCGCAAGCGTTTTCTCATTTTTTATTGTTCAACCTTTTTACTTTTACTTATACTCTTTGTAACGCGTAACGGGCTAATAAAATTGTATACTACAATAAACCATTATAATGTTACATTGTTTGTAGCAAAGTTACAAATCAAGGCATGTATGAAATAAGTGAACCATCAATTAAGGTTTATATAAGAGGAACATGGCTATTTATGTTTCTCACCAGCCCCACAGACGCCCGAGGGTCGTCTCCCCGAGTGTATGGAGTCCCTCTTCATCCTCTGCACCAGCCTCAAGGCCGTCATGCTCACCTCATGCTGCTTCTCCTCGAACTGCAGCTGGGACGCGAAACGTATTATATACAGACATGGATCTGGGAACGAGAAAAACATAATGAGATCTAAGATTTTCGAGAGTATTCATTTAAATGAAACTACTATTTTTCGGATATACTACACGGTCTTTATTTTTGTAAAAAACTGCATACTGACTTTTCGGCTACTCGGCTACTTCGGCTTTCGGCCCATGTAAGTCATAGGTTTTATATTTGACAGTAAAGTTTTTTGTTATGACGTTTGCAAAAAATTCATTTATACCACTTACATGTTTAAAATTTAAGCAGTTTTTTTTATTAAGACGAAACTATTTGTCGAATTTATAGTAGATTATAACACTCCAAGAATTTTATATTTCGTCATCACATAAACCAATATTAAATCCTACTGTAAAATAAAATTTACCTTTAAAAGCAACATAAATGTTTAATGATTGCATTTCATTTAAGTAACTAATAGCATAAATTTAAATTATACACGTATTATTAAACTAAATAAGTAGAAATTACATTTCCAACAAAGTTTATCATAAAAATTATTTAATGTAGAACAAACAGGTTGTCCTTCATTTTTAATACTACCTACTCTATAAAACTACTCTTATTTTATTTCTTTATTAACATTAAGTTTAAGTTAACTTTAGAATGTGTTTTTATTATATTTCTACAGCTATGAATCATTTACTAGCCTAAGCAAACAACGGCAGACTTAAGCAGTACTTTTATGCCTAACCAAAAATAGCATCGTCACACTTACACGGGTCTTTAGCAGTTTTTCATTCATAAATCATCACACATTAGCATTAAGGTGCGTTATTAAATAAAAAATGAGAAACCGCTTGGTAAGTTGCAAACTTAATATACATATTGAATTTTAGGCAATTTGCTTTGCTTTGGGCAATTTGCAACAAAAGGTCTGGAGCAAAGAAAAAGTATTATAAGAATTGATTGCTAATTTAAATGACTTTTTCGTAATAAATATAGTTTAGATTGATAATCCTGTTATTTGAACAGTTAATACTATTAACAAATATATTCACAAATAGCTCGTGAATTTTATTATTCAAAGACAAATAAGACTTACAGTAATATGTGTAAAAACATATTTAAACATGTAAATAGTAAATAAAATACCATAAAAAATTAAAAACTTAAACAAAACTTTACTTATTTTAAACAATACCGTACAAATATTGGGTAACTTAAAAAAATATTAAAACAAAAAACACGACATATATATTTTTTCTGTTATTTGCACGTGTTACTAGAAGTAACCTCGACCTGAATGTGTTTAACTATATTAAAGTTCACATAATATTTCATACGTCTCCGAGATACAAAAAAAATATATAAAAACAAAGAGATTTTGTGACGATCCCAACCGTAACAGGTTCAATATCCGAAACAAGTTTTCATAGAATGAGTAGATGAATGGAGGCCGGCTGTATACATATGTATATTAGTATATACAAGAAAAACATATAATTTTACTCAAAACTGTCGTATAGTTTGTGTTACTTTCTTTGGACTTCGATCAATGAAGTATCGTGTTGGTAGAAAGCCTTATACAAAAACATAATATCAATAAACTTTTACCCTGTACATATAAATAAAGAAAATATGTATATTGATTATTAAAAACAGAACTTAGGGTATGGATTATAATGAAAATTGAAATCTAATGATTGATTGTTATTATAACTAAATAAGTCGACAATAATAGTTACTGATATAGACTTGTTATAATGAAATTTATAGTGTTAAAAATGAATCGTATTTTATATGAAAACAAGTAGGAAAACTTAAAATTCTTATATACATTTATTAATTAATTAAAGTAAGTACTTAAATATATATATTATAACGAAAGTTACCGTCTGTATTTATGTTGAATAATATGAATTAATTTAATAGTTTTTGAGTTGAAATCTAACAGACGCACATATGTATGTATATACATTTTCTAAATTCCAATACATAATACTAGTAACAAAAGTTATGTTTATTTAGCTTATATGACGAGATTCCTTGTTGTCTTAACAGGTTTTTCATTAATATGGAAGTTTATTTTCAGAAACACCAAATATGTAAATGTATAGAACTAAATTTGAATAAGATATTTTAGTTGACATATATTCATCGATGTTTGTGTTTAAACTGTATATTTTTATTTACAATATTATAATATATAATAAAACCCGTTTATTTCCAAAAACAAAGTGTAAAAATGTCATAAGTCATAACTCATAATCATGCAATTGCCAAAGTGCTATCTTTCAAGAAATAGCGAGTGAAGTCTTTGTATTGCATTTTTTTTTCAAATCAATTTCTTTACACATTTACTTTTACATACGCTCTTTGTAACGCGTAACGGGCTAATAAAATTTCATATTAAAACAAATCTTTATAGTATTACATTGTGTGTAGTAATAATGTTGTAACAACTGACATTTTTTTACTTGTTTTATATGTGTTGAGGTCGTAATGTCGTATGCACTTTGAGAGTTGAGATTAAGTAACGATACAATTTTGAAACGTTATTTGGCGTTGATAAAACTCATTGAATGCGTTTAAAAGATTTTTTTATAATTGTAATCATTATTGATATACATTACACATCTAAATCCGCGATTTCAGCCAGTTAGGAAACTAGCTACTGTGTAGTAGTTCTTCAAATAAATATTTTTCACCTATTTTGATATGTTTTAAATATTAAACCTCCACTTCTAATTGTCAAAACATGATATTATATAGTGTGTCCCGATAAATGGACTATGTAATACAAAAAGGGTTTCTTTTACAAACTAATATTTCTGAAAACTCTGTTCAAACCGTTAACGTCTTGAATAGCTGATGATTTCCATAACACAAGTTTCAATCGTCTTATCAAACTATACACATATGGTTTTTCCCTAGTACATACGTGTATTTCGAGTCGTCAGTGAATATTTATGCACGTAGAAGAATCTGTGTTTAATTTGACGTCGTGAAATAGTACTGATAAATGATAATGTTCTAACAACGGTACATTATGAAATTTTATATGGGGTATATATGTTACATTTTATTATAAAAGACTGATTGTTGCTTAAAAATCTTTATATATAAAATTACGTAAAAATAGAAATTTTATTTATATTATTAAGTAATTTAGATCAAATTATTCAAATTACTTAATAAAGTAATTAAAATTATAATATAGAAATTAATATGATGTAATATTTTTATTATATTAATTAAATTTAATAACATATTCCAATTAATTTTTATGACCAAATAAAATAGAATGATATAAAATTAATATATTAAGAATCTAGATTTCTTAACTGAATCATATAGGTTAGTTATAAATTAATAGAAAAATGTTATCATAATATCTTTTGAAGGAAATGTATAAATATTGGTGCGCGTATGCGTTTGTGTGTGCGTGTATGTGTGTGTATGTGACGAGGTAAGTTTAATTTATTGGAATAAAAACATCTAAAGCTATCGTCTGATTACAATCTATCATAATAAACATAAACAAAATGATTATTCTTATAACGTTCCACTGAACAAATGTTTAAAACGGGTCAATATAACTGTATCTACATTATTATCTTGACAGGAATAATGATGTTTTGTTCGAAATGTAACAGCGACAGTTTATAATCAGAACCAGTCTAACAACTTACTTTCACTAACAGTCTGGCAAACTATCGCATATGGAGAGCGAAATCGTTCGCATATTTCGGATCTATCTCAAAATCGTTATCTCCGGTTTATGGATGCGACTTCGATTTATAAGAATGATGTCTTCTAAAGTAACTTTCATATTAATTCAAGCCAATGTTAAAATATACAATAAACTGGGTTAATACAATGATATACTTGCTGTGTCTGCGCTATACTGATTCATCAACGGCATGCACTGATGCAAGTATTGCGATGTTTGGCGAAGCTTGCGTAAGTATAAACACAAATTAAATATGGAAAAACATGTTCTAGAGAAAGAAATGTACTGAGACTAGTGACTTTATCACAAACGTGAAGTAAGGAATTTATATTTGAATTCCAACATTCCTTTATAATCGCTTTTTTGTGAAGGAAATGAAAATAAAGTTGTCAAAGCTGAATTGTAGTTTTATAATTATATCGAATATATTAGAAAAATTTAGTATAAATCTTATAAGATACATATGTTTTGCTAATAACTCGTTTAAAATATAATATATTTACGAACAACAATAACAGCAAACGCTTTAATAGAAAGTGTTAGCTTTTGATCCTAACAAAACTGAGAAGATTGGACTGAGATAAACATCAACATCTCAAAGCCACGGCATTGAAAGTTAATAATTTAATAAAGATCTTTATAATCATCGTAAATAAATTATAAATAACAATGATGGGAATTAAATAAGACGCAGAAACGAGATAACTGCTGAGAATTATCTTAACACAAGCAAGAAAACAACAACTAATAAATTACTGATAACGATTTACGCAAAAATTAAGAAAAATAATATTCTCATGACACCTTTTAGGAAAATATAGTATAATTTTACCAAATTTCAATAAATAATTTATGTTATGTAATTAAGACTATTTACGTATATTATGTACTTTTATTACGCCACTTTCTTTCATTCACTGGCGTTAAGACTGGTCTAAAGCATATATGTAGTATAATAAACACAATTGAAATCCTCCTAATATCACCACGGAAGCTAAAGACATAGGAACAATTTATCAGATATAAAATCTTCTGACATTCAACAATCTATGTTGGAACAGGTCAGACCAAATCCCAATACCTTTCTAAATACTATGTCTTTCATGTTTACAATGTATGTATTACCTTCATTTATAAATTAATCTTATCAAGCCTCTATAGCGTAGTATTAGATTCATCATATTGATCTCCTATTATTTCTCAAAATTCACTTTTGTCATAATGAGTCGGTCATGAGTCGATAATGAATTTATTTCAACAATAAATGTTTAATGAATAAAGAAATCCGATACTGATTTAGTTAGTTTAAGATGAACTTAAGGGTGGTCTTTGAATTTCATATAACATTTTCATCTTGTTATCCGTACTGTATCGTTAAGGATGATGTTTCTGTTGAGTAAATATGTGTACAATTTATATAAACAAAAAAAAATCATGTATGATGGAATATCCTGCCGTAACAACACTGTTAGGGAAGTCTGCTAATACTCTGCAAAAAAATTGATATACAATATTGAATAGAATAGCATAAGACATTTTATCTTGATTCTAAACTAATGAAAACTTTAACATTTTGAGATAGATACAGCGGATTACAATGTTGTTTTCATATAACCGACATGCTGCCAGTTGATGATTATTAGAAAGGGTGAAGCAACGTTAAGGCCAAGAAGTGTTCTTTTAAGAAGACAGTTAAAATAAATCCGAACAAACAGATAAACGTAGTATTTCTATGTTTTTTTTATTTTGATCATTTCAGTATAATAAATATCACTTATTTTTAGTCGATCTCAAACTTTTATACATATAATCCATTTTATAACAGATAAATCAGTATTACAGTTGAATCATTACGAACAAATAAGTAGCTTACGTGAAATCCAATACCTAATGTTAAAGACAAATTTTACTATTACCACACAAAATTCTTAGGTTTATCTAATTATGTGTTAAGATTTATGAGATAAAATCTGGCAACTGTATATGTTTAATATGAAAATGCAAACTGTTTCTTTAGTAGAAGTTGCCACCCTCACTACATACTGAGCGTTAACAATTTTAGTATCATAAATCTTCGTACATGATTAAAGTATTTTATTTATTGAGAAAGAACGCTTTGTTTGTAGTGTGACGAGAAACTTGGACTATGTACAGTTATCGTAAGACTACTGAGTTAGTTTATATACATATGCATAAGAAATGTAACAGACGATTTAATAATATAATTGCATTGTTAGAAAAATTGCTGTAATTAAAGACTAGAATGATGTAATTTTTGAACGCTTATCTATTTTGGTACCCTTGATATTGTATAAAGATAAACTGACAAAACTGTCGAGTTAATTTATAACAAAATTAGTTTCAATATTGATTATAGTACAATTCGGATTATATTTTAATTTAATTCAAGTTGTGATCGTACATAATATAATTTTGTAAGTCATGATAGAGAATACCAGCTTAAGTAGGTGACAGCAATAACATCCTTAGGTTGGTAACGTAAATAAAAAAGAGTAGGTACAACATAGCAACGAAAATTAGGTGGTAGAGCCTAGCTGTAGTCAGTTACTACAGCTCGAACATGGGCTGGCTCGACCGCGGAAGTACCACCCTCTCACAAAAGATCGGCGTGAAGTAGCCTTAAATGGCTGCGTTTCGTCTGATGAGTGAGAGAGCCGATTGCCCTTTCCCTATTCCCACCCTTTCCTACCATTTCCTTATTCTCACCTCTCCCTATCCCTACAATACAAGGTTGGCAACGCATCCGCAACAACGATGTTGCGGATGTCTAGGGGCGACGGTAACCACCTTCCATCAAGTGGGCCGTCTGCTCGTTTGTCAGCTTTCACATTAAAAAAAAAATCTAGATATACATTACGGAAAGTTAAAGATCTATTACATTAGCAAAAAGTGCAGTCAAAATAGACGTTCACTTTTGCATTAATTCCCAAACAAGATGGATATGGATCAAAATGAAAAGGAAGACATGTTGAGAATACAATAGCGGATATATAATATAGTCGAAAATACGATTTTCCTGCGATCTAAAGTCACGATATCTCGAAAACGATGCATTGTAAAAAAAAAGTGTTGAAACCTTTTTCATAGACAATTTTATAATCTAAAAACTTTGTCTAAACCATTTTTCGATAGCACTCGTTATTTTAGAGATATACGCAACAAACGCAAACTTGTGATCTTTGACCTGGAATAGAAAACAACGCAAGCGGGATCGATGGGGACTTTTGGCATATCATTTGTAATGTCCTATTCTAGGCCTGCACAAAAATCCAGCTTATTGGCAATCATAATTTAGTCTATTTTGACTGGACTAAAAGACTATTCGTTGTGATAAGTTACGACACTTCAAAGTGTGATATAATAGCAACAAAAATTATCAAAGCAATGAATTAGATTCTTTCATTCACTTTCCTTCACGATTGAATGAATCTGAATGAACTGAATATTATGATTTTGTCATCACATTACATCTTGCATCAGGAGAGTACTATTCTGTTTTTAAAATTTTCAAAATATATTAAATGTTTTTTTAACTTTTTTGTAGCGTATGTACATTATTAAATCTTCTATATATATAAAAATGGATTGCTGTTCCTTAGTCTCGCTAAAACTCGAGAACGGCTGAACCGATTGGGCTAATTTTAGTCTTGAAATACTCCTGGAAGTCCAGGGAAGGTTTAAATCATGTCAATCATTTTGTCGCACTTCAGAACACGGAGATTTATGGCTTAAAGATAAGCACCAAAAAAATAAATAAGAAATAATTTATTTCTTGATTGAGGCAGTATGAAGTCTTCCGGGTCAGCTAGTATTAAATAATGTAAGTGACACTGACCTTAAATTGTAGGACAATATTTTTAACTTTTATACCAATACGATAATAATAATAAAATAGCATTTTAATATGATGTTGCTGACACGAATTTAACATATATTAAGACTACGTGTGGCTGGACATTCGGTTGAATTGGTTTTGTAACCAAGGTCGGAATTTGTCACGAATTACCAATCAATTGATTCATATTCATGATTTTCGCAACTATCATGTATGGTTTTGGTAATCTTTAATAAAAATATTTTGGTCTCTACTATTGAACTTACTAATGCTATTTAACTTTGGACAGTACTATTGTAAATCAATTTATATTTTACTATGTTCATATTGTATTGCATGTTTTGTAGAACAATAAATTACTCGTTTATTGTAAAATTATAAAACGCGTACATACTAAATGATAATTCCTAAGTGAGTAGAGGCATTCGGTTATTGGTTAGTTTGCTTTTTAATTTTAATTTCACGAAATCATAATATAACATTTTATGTATTTGGTGCACACGAATTTTTGCTGTGGTAATAAAAATATATCCTTTCACTTGTATATGAAATTTTGGATAAAACCCATACAAAAGTACTCACTTATAATCCATAATGAAACAAATTTCAATTTTCTTAGCACAAAACGTAATTTTGATCCGGAAAAAAAGTATCGTAATTAAAAATGTTTTTTTTATTATACTTAGTTGATAATAATCCAAGGCTTATTTTTCAAAAAAAAAACACACCGTTCGAATAAGGACATTGACAGTTCCGAATCGAATATAAAGGTAAAGATAAAAATCTAAAGGTAAAGATAAAAATCAAAAGGAAAAGATAAAATGTAAAGGTGATCTATCAGCGGTGATTCAAATATAAATTACAGAATCAGGTCTAGTATTGAACGTGAGGTTGAATATTTATGGTTGGTGACTCTCACACGGACAGAATACCAAGTGGTACTGAATCGACGTTATCCTACATACGGGACCATCATATTTGATATGACATACGAAATAATTATTGAAATTATGTTTATCAATATTATTTACACCTACTTCGATCTTGACCTTAATAGTTTGTGTTGAAAGAAATTCTATTAATACTTATATATTTCTACATAAATCATGATCAGTGACAAAAAACATGTAAAAATTAAGACAATGTCATTTTAATTATGTTTTGTTAATTTTCATTCGGAATCGTACAAGCCATATCGTTTAGTGTGAGGAAACAAAAGTCATTGTCCATCTAGTTATATATAATATGAACGGTACAAATTACAAAACTCTCATTACTGACATCACAAGACTTTCTTTTCTGGGGGCAGGTGACTGTTCGTTGTGTAACACCGCCAGCGCTTCGCCCCGACTCAATCAGTCTGAAGCCAGCACGCGTTGTGCTGACGCGGTGTTTGTGATCTATCACCCAGTGTGTTCTGTGATATGATGTTGTGATGATGAGATGAAGGGTCGCCCTCCGACCAGGATAATACCGGTTATATTGGGAAAGATATTACTCCGTTGGATTTTCACTAAGGCTGATTTGTTTTTTTTCATCTACCGGTAAGTACGACTACCAATATATAAAAAAAATTAAACATTTGTAACTGTTATTTTAATCTTTTATCTTGTAAATACTTAACAATTATAACAACCGAATGTGAGGTTTATTTGACAGCTATAAAACATGATATTTGTTGATTAAGAAAAAAAATCATTATACATTTTTTGACATTTTGCTTAATAATTTTATCATTTCGTATACATACATATTTGATTAAATAAAATATATACATCAGATGTAAACATCGTCATGTAAACAAATGAAGTAAAACTATCAAATACGATATAATTAAAATATTTTATGTTTCCTCATATCGTATGTAAACAATAAATGTATTGTACTGTATTAAGTATGTGTAATGGAAGCCTTATAAATCATTAAATGCCGATCGGACGGACTTAAAGTGAATAACTGATATTATTAATATATTCAAAGCAGCTTGTAAACAATGTAAACAAATGTAAATAACATGTAAACAAATAGATTTATATCATTTGTTCTTATATTATAGTTTATATCTTATATGTAACCTAAAGTTATTTATCTCAAGCACCAATACTTTTACAATACCAATTATCTTAAAAAAATAATTTTTTTTATCACATATATTTAGATTTATTAAATTAATTTAAATAACTGACGTCTATTTGCAAATATTACATTCTAATATATTTTATTAATATTATAAATGCTAAAGTTTGTAAGTACGGATGGATGTTTGTTATTCTTTTACGTTAAAACTATTGAATTTATTTTAATGAAATTTTGGTATTATATAGGTTGCTTATCAGATGCCATATAGGCTAAAATTTATCCTGGAATTATTATCCCGCGGTATCAAGGCATAATAGTTATATTGTGTCACAAACTATAGTTTTCGTGACTGAATAATTATACATGTGTGTATTTTTTGACAAATGTTATACTTTTCTCTATGAGTACAACTCTGATTTTCACACAGAAGGATTCGCTAACAAAAACTGATTTACTATTGACTATACGAAAAATTTTAACATTATTAAAATGTTAAAAACAATAAGTATCACGATTTATATAGATATAAAAACAGTATTTAACTTTGTGCTTTCGTCTTATATTTAACTACCTATTAATTGGCAATCGTAAATACGAGTCGAAGTTTTCTGTCAATTAATCTTATATTTTTGCCTTCAGTTAGTTTAAAACGAGTTTCAATTGTTTGTCTAATTCGAAATCTATAAATATTTGTATAAAATTATAAGCTAACTAGGTCGAATGTTTAATAAAACCTTGACTTGACAGTCATCGTCAATAATAATATTAAAGTTATGGAGTGCAGTTAGTTATAGTAAAATAAAATACATTTAATAAAAACCGATGTTAAAACAAAAATTTATCTCAAAGATATTCCACATAAGTTATTCGAGAAAAAAATACACGTTACGAAACTTTAAAAAAAACGTTATTTCTTAAAACGAGGCGAAAGTAAGAAGACCAAATTACGATTCAAAAACTGTAGGAAGAATAAATTTTGTATCATTTTATTGTGATAAAATGTAAACACACAAAAAAAAGTGAAAGTATCACATATAAAGCCGCTTAGAAACTTGATACGTTAATTTCGACGCCTGTAACTGTTTTATATCAACTTACCTGAGTGTTAATTGGATTTATATGTATATAGTAAAATTTTGGGGTGTGAAACTGTTTTAGTCGTTTTTTAACATTAATTACTTTAAAATATAAATGTTGACGTATGGGATAGTAGAGTATTGTATTGTAAATTTAGACCAACAACAAATTCAAATATGATGCTAGATGAACAGCAATTAGAGCAAACATAAAAACATTTAAATTTGTTATCATAACTTGGAAGACAAATTTAAAAATATTTCCCACACAAAAACTGAAGTCGTAGAAAAATTATTACATCAATTTATTAAAATACTCTGACCATTCGGTGCACATTACTTTTATAGAATAAAGACCAAAAAATAATTAATCGATTTCTAGTAAAAAACTTCAAACTTTTTAGATGACTGGCCACTGGATATTTTGTTGTATTTTGCTTTTTAACCTCAAAAAAAGGAAATCAATTTTTGTACTTAAAGATCCTATGCTATTTTCAGAAAACAAATATTATAATCTTCTATATATATAAAAATGGATTGCTGTTCCTTAGTCTCGCTAAAACTCGAGAACAGCTGAACGGATTTATCTTATTTTAGTCTTAAAATGTTCGTGGAGGTTCAGGGAAGGTATAAAAGGTGAGAAAAATTGGAATAATTGCCGGGCACACCCTAAAAACAGCCCTTTTCTATTTCCCATACAAACGTTTTTTTTGACATTAGATTTGACAACTAACTAATATGTCAATCATTCTGTTTGATTGAAACAGGAAAAACCTGATTAGGTATTTATGGCCTCTAAGACGGAATAGACTTCGACTGGTCAGCTACACCTACATATATTGCTCTTGACCAAACTAACGCGGACGAAGTCGCGGGCAAAAACTAGTCTTCTATATATATCAAAATGGATTGCTGTTCCTTAGTCTCGCTAAAACTCGAGTACAGCTCAACGGATTTATCTTATCTTAGTATTGAAATGTTCGTGGAGGTTCAGGGAAGGTATAAAAGCTGAAAAAAATTGATTCATTACTGGGAAAACCATAAAAACAGCCCTTTTCTATTTCCCATACAAACGTTTTTTTTTTGACATTAGATTTGACAACTAATAATATGTCAATGATTCTGTCGCACTTCAAAACACCGAGATTTATGGCGTACAGGTAAACTCCAAAAATATAAATAAAAAAACCTAATACATATTTCTTGATTATAGGGCGATACGAAGTTCGCCAGGTCTTCTAGTGTAAAATAAAACACAAAACTTTTGATAATACCAAGATCATAATATTATATGTAGTTCTCAAGAAACATCACAAGTCACGATCTCTAACAACTGACTGGTGAAGGTTTATTATCAAGCAGTCGATTTATTAATAAACAGATATTTATTTTATTGTAACAATTGAATTTCTATAAAAAATTTATATTTATAACATAAATTAGGAATATTTGCTGTGATTTGTGATGATGATTTTTTTATGTAGATGAAACTATTTTCTATTTTAATTTTTATAGAAGAAACACTATATATCTTTCGCTTTATGTATTTATAATTTAGCTATAAAATAAAGGGTATTGGATGGTTATTATCAAAAATAATATAATACCAGGATTTTAAACCGTCAATATATATCTTTAAATATATAATTTCACAGACCACTATGCTTCCTACAAGTTTGTCACACCACACTACAAGTGCCAACAGTTATTTATTCATAAATTTCATAACATTTGAGTATTAACGTAGGTTACTGATGTAGGAATTTATTATTTAGTGTACAATTATTATTTTATGTAATGTCATTGCTGGCATAATATATTTTTTAAAATCAAATGTCAAAGTATAACTTGTCATTTTTGAGAATGGAAATGTCACCCTGACATTGGACGAGTGTCTGTTAATATAAAGTGAATTTTAAAATACAGTTATATAAAAGTAATCGGTGGATACTTAATTTAAAATAGATTCGACTCTTTACTGGTAGTAGATAGGCTAGATGCAAACTTGTGTACAAATATCTTACCACGAGTTAAGTTCACTTACAAACTCAACACAGACAGTTATCAGTTCCAAATTAACCATACTATACGTACACATTCACGTGTTAGGTTTTATGAATGTAAATAAAGGTTACAGAAAGTAAAATTACGTTTGATGATATTCAATTGATATTTTAAAACAGCTAGCACTAATGTCATAGCATTTTTAGAAAAAGACATTTTAATGCATTCTGTTAGCTGTTCCTTGCATATTGAGTGTTGTGTTAAACGTTATAAGGCTTATATTTGATTGCCAAAGAGATAATCGATTGTATGGAGAGGTTAAATTAATTACCAAAAGGTCATAGATTCTTAAACTCTCCCTTAACACGTCTTGCTTGATAAATTTATTTTCTAAAAACAGCTGAACATAAAATTGCATCAATTTTATTCATGACATCAAAATTGGATTTTATTATAATAAAAAGCGGTACTCATTTATTGACATTTAACGATTATACTGGCACTCATGAAACAATTAACTAATCTTGCGCAAAAATTGTTTTATAATGCAAAGAAGCTGATATTTTTACATTGCTGAACAGACATAAATAAACATATCTAAGAACCAGTACAAAGAAAATTGGGTTCAAAAGATGCATCAAAATCAGTGAATCCATTTGAGAGATAGGATGTCACACACAGACACATAGGTAGATCTACATAAAAATTAGTAACAACCCTAGTTTCGGATCGAATTTAATAATATACGTCTGCCAGATTGAGAAATTTATAACAACGTTGTATTCGAATGGAATAACAATTAACAAATACGATATATTTATTACAAAACAATGTGATAAAACATTTCTTCACGAGAATAACTTAAAGTATTATTAGTTAAAAGATCACGTGCTTCAAATATTACATAATACTTATATTAGAAATCTGATTTCAAACTAATTTATTACAATACTTACGTTAGTCTCTTATATGTTAAAAATATTAAAACGTCTTAAATGAAGAGAATGATCACATATTATAATTTATACGAGTACCGTAATATCTAATTTTACTAAGTTTTTTTATAAACAACCGAAAAACCTTAAAGACTATGTACCGCTTAAACAATCAAAATGACTAGAGCTAAAACTTTTTAGCAATTACTATGACATTATCAACAAAATTATAAATTATTTAATATTTCTTCTAAACGGTCTCCTTACTACACTCAGCATCATTAACTTAAAAACAAAAAGTTTAAACGTATTCTATTCATAAAATCGTAACGCATTTTACGTACGTGTTACGCACGTAACAAATTTCTTTTATATAAATTGGAAATGCATTTAAACACTGTATATGACTTAAACATATGGCCCAAGAGTCATGACAAAACTAATTCGACTATAGTTTTAACTATAAAACACGTAGTAAGGTATCTTAGATCGTGAATATTTACGTAACACTATGTACAAATAAGGAAGATAATAAGATACTGTCAAGTAAAACAAGGAAAAGAATAATAATTGTTGTAACATCACACTAGATAACATTTCAGTCAACAATAGAATCGGACGAAGAACGTTTGTATATTATTAATACAAAACCAAATTTAAAAGAAAATGTGCCAGTGTCAAAACAAGACATGTTAACCAAATGTTTCTAAACGTTTTTATACAGTAGGTAATATAAATATAAATAGTATAATGTATAAACACCATTAATATGTAAGTACTAAAATATTTTGTTAATATTAATGTCAAAATATCTAAAATAAACCAATGACAAAGTTACAACACTATCGCGAGTTTAATAGATATAGATGTATCGAAATGCTACTTAAGTTTTATTAATCATTCTTCAAGAAATAATCATTAATTACTACCACACTCTTGATACACTCAAAGCACTACAAGCTGTTTAAAAAACAACAATTTCAACCACAACGTGTTTCGAAAGAGTATATTAAAAGACCTTCTTAAATTGAAATCAAATTATAGTAATATTTATAGTGAAAAATATCGTATACAAATCAGTTTAAGACCTCACTAAGGTCTGTCACGAAATAAACTAAAGCGGCTTCAACCGCATCTTCCCACATACATGGGAAGCGGACCCGGTAAAATATGTATAACAATATAAAGAATATCAATCGAACTATTATAATTTTAAAAAGGCCACTAGATGAGTCGTAAACATATTAATTTTCATATATATGTACATACATATGATATTTAATACTTTCCTATTTTGTGACAATAACCAACAAGGAATAATCAAAATATTTTTCGCAGACTGCAGACAGTATTTTAATTAATAGAAAACATATACTAATGTCAAAAAAAATATAATATCAATGGTTTCTATAATTTTCACGAGCAATACAAATATTGCTAAAACGATTAATATTTTTTCTTTTTTGTTAGCTTTATATATCAATTTTTATTATAAATAAGATAATAACATATAACCTAATTGAATATAATAAGAGTAACAAAAAGTAACACAGGCTAAACATTTATAATACCTGCACACACAACACAAGTGAAATCTAGTAGACATATAAAATAGTAGAAAACCTTCACAGTCACTTACTTCCATAGGGGTTTTAAGATAAACCTATTCGGATCGGCATGTTTGAAACAGATGTTATTTAACATATTAACTAACCTGATTTTTTAGGAAAAAAAATATCTTAAAATTTAACTCGCTTCCAATGTTTATTCGATGATGGATAAGCGACGACCTATATATTATAACAATAAAAACAAATCATTTTTATACGAAACAATGGTTTAAATATCAACGAACTTTATTTAATAAAAAAAATGTAGCAAATACTTGTAAGTATATGGCTTATATTTCTGAACTTATCTATGTTACTGTAGTATATATGTATATATTTTGTTTCAGAGTAATTTGGTATGCGTTTCACGTCCGGTTATCGATGAACAGCAGCGTGGATTTCTTTGAAAGCCTCATAGATGAAGATGGTCGTTTCTCAGACCTCAACTGCCAAGAACCATCTCAAAGGACGCCACGAAGGAGGAACACAACGGTCCAAAGACCTAGACCCCTTGTACAGGGTATACGATTTTATTTAAAAACTACTTTCTGACCGCGACTTCGTCTGCGTTCATTTCGGAATTAGTAATATATGTATAAGTGACCGAGCGAACTCTATTCCACTCTATAGGTACATATAAATAACCAGATATGTACTGGATTTTTTCTTTTTCGATATAACGGAATTAAATATCCTATGTCCAGCTCCTGGTTCTATGCTATCTCCCCAACAATTTTCCACCAATTTTTCAACAATTTCCAACTATATCCCTACAGCCGTTCTTGAGTTATAAATAGTGTAACTGACACAACTTTCTTTTATATAGTTATATAGATAATGATATTTAAAACACAAGTACCTATTAACCTGCTTATACCGTTGTATACAACCTTTGATATTATTTATACAATATATTTTCATAATTTCTCAATCAATGAATCATAACGTGACCTACAACTTATAGGCTACAAGACGGGACAGTCTTGTGCGAATTTATGAAATTTAAATGGAAATACCAATTTATCGCAATTCGCAACTCGTTGTTGTTCTAGGTCAAGGTCGCGTTACTTAAATTGTATACCATTGCCATTTTAATATCAATAAACCGAAGCACTATCGTTTCCAAAGCACGGGAGTGATTCAACAAAACTATGTAAGAAATGGTTCTTAAAAATATAACATTGTCATATACTTGCTATCATTTTTTAAATTAAATTATCCTATTGGTAATTTTTATCTCAGTCCGCCATTTTGCTGCCAAAACAGTCCAGTTATAAGCAGTACACATTTTTATATTACTTTATGTACAAGAAGAATATGTACGCCTGCATTAATTTTAAAATTAATGCAGGCGTACTTAAAGCGAAAATTCCTTATTGTTTGTAGAACACGCATCTTTCTGTAATTTGTTATCACATAGGCAATTAAAAAAATTGCAACATTCCCTTTTATAATATCACCAAGCTCTTTTGTACTATAGAAAACCTTATACCAAGTAATAGGATTATGTGTTAAACATTTCGTAATATGCATCTTTTTAATTACGACATAATATGAAAACCATTATTGGACATTTTTGTGAAACAAACAAAAGAATAAAAGTAATACGTCACTCTTTTGTCTTAAATAAAATGTTTTTCGAATATTTGGAAGCTTGATACTAAATAAAAACGACTGGCGTAATTAAAAAACTAAAACAAATTACTCAAAAATAACAAAATATCATATGCCAAGGTCATATATATTTTTTTGTTTAGTGAATAAAAAAATAGGAAATATTTATTTCTACAGTTTTCCATTTTAAAAACGTATAGCTTGCCGTGTGCATATTGACATAAAACCTTATCTGTCATTATTTGACTGTACAGAACGCATGTTATAGTCAATATTTTTTTACTGATTCAATTTCTTAAATAACTTTTCATCTGAACTTTTCTTGGATTATATTTTAAATACTTAAAAACTAGAATTCTTTTGACTTTATTACGAAAGACCTTACATTTATTGCAATCGTAACTGGCAACTGGCAACACTGCTTAAGATGGCTGACCAACGTAAAGAAATAAAGTTGCGTGCCTTGTTTTTGTTGTAAATTTAAAATCAAGTTTGGTACCTATAGGGCAAAATGTCCAATTTATGTTCAAGGATTGTGTCAAAGCCTCCGAAAAGATTAACTGAGAATAGAGATAGCATGTCAGTCGCTCAAACTAATACTTGGATGAATGGTAAGCCTTGGAAAGTAAATATTGATTTCTACTGAAGACCTTACTACGATGTTAGGAGTTTGTTACGTGCTTTAGTCTAAACGAATTGATTTGTACTAGGATAGATTTGTGTACTATTGTTGTGACATACTCGTCAATAGTTTCATATAATATATTTTATATTCGCAGCGGAAAACATAAACAATGGCGGTGGTTTGTCGTTATCGCCTCCACATACAATTTCTCAACGTGAAACGGCAATGCAGGTGTCACAATGTTATAGTGGCCCACCGTCACCGTGTGGCTCATCAAGTTCCACCCCCTCGCCTACATTATCCCCAGCGCCACCCCCGGGGACAGCAACCCTTGATCCTAATTGGCAGGCTACTAAGCCTACGATTAGAGAAAGAAATGCAGCAATGTTTAACAACCAGCTAATGGCTGATATCACGTTCATAGTTGGAAGTCCTGGTAAGGCTATTGTACTAATATAAATGTAGTGAATATCATCATCTAAAACTCAACAAATATTTTGTACCTTTCCAGGACATACACAAGTTATACCGGCTCATAAATATGTGCTAGCTACAGGGAGTTCAGTATTCTATGCCATGTTCTATGGTGGTCTTGCTGAATGTAAACAGGAGATTGAAGTGCCAGATGTTGAACCATCTGCCTTCCTCGCATTACTTAAGTGAGTATATAATACACCTCTCCTTAATTCAATATTCACATTTAAATATGTAAATTATTTTAGTCCTTGACATATAGCTGATTAAATGTGAGATAAATATCTTTAAATTGATTTCAAGCCTACACAGAGAGGATAGGGGATCTTATTAAAAACCTAGCATCTCTGTAGCTATACTTAATTGTCTTTAACATAACAATAATAGCTTTTAAACGATTAATTTTAGTAAAACTCAAGTCATTCTGTTTTCCAGGTATTTATATTGTGACGAGATTCAATTAGAAGCTGATACAGTATTATCAACATTATATGTTGCCAAGAAATATATAGTTCCTCATTTGGCAAGGGCATGTGTGAACTATTTGGAAACTAGTCTGACTGCAAAAAATGCATGTTTGCTTTTAAGTCAATCCCGATTATTTGAGGAACCTGAATTGATGCAGAGATGTTGGGAAGTAATTGATGCCCAGGTATGTGAGTCAACTGAAAACCTTACGACCGTCTGTCTTGAACCATCATCATCATACAGTAGCTTACTCATGGATCTCTCAGAATCATCCAGTCGGAATCTCTCCAGTCCAGAATACTCAAATGATAATCTACACAACTTGTGTTTACAAAATTAATATACATATCTTTATAATTCAATTTATTGGTTGTGATTTAGGTTAAAACTTTAAACATTGTTTCCAAAATGTTTAATAATTTATATATTACCGACAATTGTGTTATCTAGTCATAATTTTAAAGGAAAGGGAGTTAATTAGGCATGAGATACTTAAGATGTGTTTAGATTGACTGCAATACACTTTGTGTAGTAGATGTCTCTGCATGTATAGTGTAAAGCATGTTTGTTGAAATGGTAATCATTGATATTGTAAAATATTTACAATTTAAAAAATGAAATAAACTATTCAACAAAATGTATTGCAGTTTCATTTTCATACCTTTAATATATAGTTTCAAATATTTTAGGCAGAGATGGCTCTCACATCCGAAGGCTTTGTTGACATAGATGTTTCTACTCTTGAATCAGTATTGGCAAGAGAAACACTTAATTGCAAAGAAATTAATTTGTTTGAAGCTGCGTTAGCTTGGGCACAAGCTGAATGTGTGCGAAGAGAAATTGATGCCACTCCAGTAAACAAAAGGTCAATGCTAGGTAGCGCCATATACCTTATCAGATTTCCGACAATGACATTGGAAGAGTTTGCTAATAGTGCAGCTCAACTGGGTATTCTGACACCACAAGAAACTATTGACATATTCCTACATTTTACTGCAGCTAGCAAGCCACAACTGTCCTACCCTATTAAAGCCAGGGCGGGACTTAAGGCTCAGGTAATTCACAATAACATATAATTCACAAAAACAATATTTGAAAAGCAACATTATATAACAAAAAATTTTTTTCAGATTTGCCACAGATTCCAATCATGTGCCTACAGAAGTAACCAATGGAGATATCGAGGTAGATGTGATTCAATACAATTTTGTGTTGACAAGAGAATATTTGTTGTTGGATTTGGACTTTATGGATCATCAAATGGTGCAGCGGATTATAATGTTAAGATTGAGTTAAAGCGACTTGGAAGGGTCTTGGCTGAGAATAACACAAAGTTCTTCTCCGATGGATCAAGCAACACTTTCCATGTGTACTTTGAGAATCCAATACAAATTGAGCCTGAGTGCTTCTACACAGCTTCTGCTATACTCGATGGTAGCGAGCTGAGTTATTTCGGACAAGAAGGTCTAAGTGAAGTATATATGGGAACTGTTACATTCCAGTTTCACTGTTCATCAGAAAGTACAAATGGGACTGGTGTCCAAGGAGGTCAGATTCCAGAATTAATTTACTACGGACCAACTATTAACAACTCAATAGTCAATACAAACTCTAACGAGGACTGACAGTTAAGGAGATTTCAACCTATAAACTTTTATTTATTTTAAGGATCTCGATTGGGTTGTATGTATGGGAGGGATGCGGAAAATGTATAAAATTATAACCATTCCCATGATAAATTATTTTTTGAAATACGAAATTCTTGTGTACATTGTTATAAATTATAGTAGATAAGTACTTTTAAGAATGTGATATGGGTGTTGTTAAAAGCTCTCTAGAAATTTGTAGGTATAGAAACAATCTTCATAAAAAGTTCTTATCATTAAAAAAAATTAAATAGTTGATTGATTGTTTTATTTAATAAATCCCATGACTGAAATTATTTTTTATTAAAATGTTACTAAAAACCATTAAAAATTCATATTACATTTTAACGCTTTGTAAGAAAATTGACATCTTAATTATTGAGATGAAATGGGAATGTTAATGAACTAACAAATTACATTTTTCCTTTGTCTGGCTGTGATAGAAAGGGGGTTATGTTTCCCTACCATAGATAATTATGTAGGTCTTTGGGCCTATAGGGCTTGTATTTTTTGTTGTGAGATTGACACTGAATTTATCAAAATTTATTCAAAATAATTTTTTGGTGTCAAAAAATATATGTTTTCAAATTATGTTAAGTGTTATATAAAAATTAAGTTTTTTAAAGGTAAATTATATACATAAGAATAAATCACATTTCATAATTTTTATAACATAAATAAGAATTTGGTGTTTGTATCTTTTCAGTTCTTAAATAAATTAATGAATTTGTTTTGTTTTAAATATGGTAGTATCTATGTTACTTAAAATACTAACTCCCTAATTTTTTTATACCTTCTATAACATTGCATAGATATTATAAAATATTTGGTTACACTTACCAGTGGGTGGTATGTTGATGCAGAGCGCTTTTGATAATTTGAAGTAAGTACGGCCCAGTTGATAACAATCTATCTGAAGAGCATCACTGATGTCTATAAGAAGATCTATTAATATTTGCTAAGAAAATTAATGTTAATAAAATCCTAAATGTAAAATTGTAGAAAACTTTTATCAGAAAAATATTAATAAGGAACTGAACTGCAAATAGAAAAAACAGTCACATCAGTAAACTATAAGTATAAACTTGAAACAAATTAAATATAGGCATATTGGATTGGTGTTACGAAATTGTTACTAAATGTTACAAAAAATGTTACTAATATTACAGCTAAATATGTACAGTATTAAATATAAAAGGATACGAGGTGTTCCCTCTGTCCTGCAAGTAATATATACACATGCGGCTTGTGTTAGTGCTGACTGTCTGCCGATTGTAAGATGTCTAGCGAGAGCCATCTTAAAGAAGTTACAAGCTATGTCAATACACTGCTGATTCAATCTAAGCTGCTGACACAGGGCAGTGATACCCTCTCTTGCCTTCCTTAATGTTATTTCCCTTGACTCTTGGCCAATGCCCGCATTAAACGCTGTTGAACAAACCCATTATATCTTAAAAGCTCTTCAGTATTTGCATTTATTACTGGATTTTTTTTTTGTTGGATTGATTTGAATACATATATACAAATAAATATGGTTAAATTTCATAGCTAGAACATTTTATATGACAACATTTAATTCAAAGAAGTGATAGAATGTAATAGAAAAAATTACTGTAGATTTACCTCGACCAAAGCCAGAGGCACCTCCTTTTGAGTCCGCTGACACAAACTGTCCAATTGCAGAGGCACCACCATGAGCATTCTCTTGGAATTCTACTTCAGCAACAATAATATTATCTTCTAACACTGAACCACAGTTGGTACAAACGGCATCACCTCTAGCAGGGTCTACTTCTATTTCCGATGACCCACAATGTTTGCATTTTTTCCCCGACATTCTGATCTGCATAATATATAGGAAAATTCAGAAACTTAAATAATAACATATTTTTTTTTACAATATGCATGAATACTAACGCTATAAGTTGAAGACGATAATAGGAGCTTTTAATTTGAAATGTTTAAGTTCTGGGGTCATTAATTTGCTTTTCTTCAAGGAGTGAGAAGAATAAACCAACATTCAAGATGTTCAAGTAATGAACCTCAAATTCATACACAAATTGAAATCGTGCGGCACGATATCAGCACATATGACATTATTGACATATTTGTATCTATATATCTGACATTGTCAATCGTTTCAAATTGACAATTGTATACAGTATACTTCAAATTTTCTTTAAAGTGCTTGCAAAATAATTTCTTATTTGTTACGAGGATTCACAGCAATTTGTATATATTCTGTAATTATTAAGTTGATATTTTATTATTTTTTTCGCAATATTTATATTTAAATATAGGTTAATAAATGTTAACAATATTATTATGTTATTTTAATTCTTTATGTTCCTATGTTTATATTCAATTTCGTATGGTCAAAAAGGAAAGATTTTTAATTCAATAGAAAGCAATAGGGCTTGTTTTTTTGAGATTCAAAATCATTCGTTATTTTCATTGAAACAAAGTCTACATTAGTCTTAAGAGACTCAAAAATTTTGACGTCAACAAAAACATCGCTTATCATTGGTTGATTATCACGCCATAGTCCCATTTTTAGGCGATGAGATCATCCTTCGAATTGCTTCGGTTGCTCTTCGGATGTAAAACAGAAAAGTATATTTGTGCTCGATAAAAGTTGGCGTTTAAGACATTTAGTGATACGAAAGTTTGAAATTCTCAGGAGAAGGGCATCCCCAAAGAGACGACGACGTCATCGTTAACTGCAATGATGAGTCACCATTGTTGTGCTCTTGTTCTTGTATAATTTCATTTGACTTTATTCTATTTTAATATTGATTTATGTCATCAGTGAACTGTCAAATAGAACTTTTAGAACGTAGTTGATTGTGAATTGTGATAGTCACAAAACTGTGATAACATCTCGCGCGTTTGGAACAATTACGTAAAACTGTTGTGTTTGTGTTTATTTTAATTGAAAACTTTTTAAAGAACTCATGACGATGAAGCTGGAAGTGAGCGACAGTCATTCTAATCACTCCGATTTCTCCTGCGATAGCCAGTCTTCGCAGGATTCTTCCACAAATGACTTCATACCTTCAGTACCAACGTCGAGATCCTTGCTCACAGTAAGTCTTTGCTTTTTACCACTTTTTTGACAATGTTTACATCGCAAGTGTAACAATACATCTTATTCTAGATAATATTGGTTGATTAACTTAACAGTGCTAATAGGAAAATAATGTAAATAACAATAGGGAAAATTGATGATTTTAATTATAGCCTAACTTTGTGGGTAATGATGTTGTTTATTATTGCCATTTAGTAGATAGTGTACCACAAAGGTTGAAGTTGATCACAATTAAATTATACAGCAACAAGTCTTCAAAAGTTAAATAATACTTATATTTTATGGCTAGACAATGTTACATTCATTTTATCTGTAATAAAATTACTATTTAACCAACATTTGCTATGTTTTAGATAAGATTAAATCATTTGATGCTAATACATAGAGGAAATTTTAAAAGTTTCCGCCTATTTCATACCCTTTTATATGATTATTCCGGAACTGATAAGACTTATTATACATCACCTGATTAAGATAACAAACATATTTGAGTCATCACATCAAAATAGACTTTATATCATTGTTTAAACTAAAATCTACATTTTGTCTATGTCTGATCTAAAAATGGAACCAATATTATCACAATATACTACTGACATAGGATAAAGACAAGAAAAAAGTGTTTCTTATATTATCTACAAAGGTGTAAACATTATTAGAACATTCTAGAAGTTTTGCTATGTTTGAGCTCGTTCAAACAGCCCAAACATCAGTTTTCCTTACTTTATTTCATTTAAACCATTGTTATTCTGATTGCCACATATGTGTATTTAATTTGAGCTGTTACTATAAAATATTTTTGTTATACAATATGTTATGTATATATTTGTGTTAAATGTTATCATAATTTTGTAATAATTATGCTGTGTTATTGTTATGTGAAACACGTGTAGGTAATACTGATAACAGTTTGTTTTAAGTTATGTTTACCTTTCATATTGGAAACCTTTTTTATTATTTTATACATGCAAAAATGTGTTTTGGAGAGACGGTTGAAGATAGAATTAGTCTAATTTGAATCGAATATTCATTAAAATTAAAAAGCTATCCTTTTAAAAGTTTGAAAAACAAATCATGATGTTTAAGAAATCAGGTCAGTCTTACCATAAAAATATATATTATAAAATTGTTGAACTTTATACCAACTAAGAATCAAACTTGAACGTAAAGTAATATCATCTCCATACATTATAATTCAAAAGCAAAACAAGACTCAGAATTTGTAACTTTTCTATATAAAAAGTTAGTTTTTCCAAATATATATCATCCAATTTATAATATATGTATATAAAATAATACTCAGATATTGATGAATAAATTGCTCAATTATTGGTTATTTGTCTCAAAAAAAATGTTTTGTATATTACAAAACCATTAGTAAACCATTTGTTTTTTTAAATTTTATTATGGGTTTTTGACTTCATTTCTGCTTATATGTATGTATTATGTATATGCATTATACAAATCTTCTTTTAACACTGCCTAACAAAGCATGGGGTAATAGTCAGTATTATAAAAAGTTTTTAAATGTATTTTTTATTTGAATGTATGACCTTTTATTAAGGTAGTTGGAGGTTAGTTAAATTATAAAACATAGAAGTGATAGCAGGAAAATGGGAAGGAAGGCGATGACCGCGAATGACGTCATAGCTTCGTGGAAAACATGCTGCCCACGCACAAAAACACTCGAGGATAGTGCATCATAACTAAATACTACGGTCTTATATTGAACCAGTTTTAATTGATGAATTAATTATTTGTACTATTAATAAATAAGTTATGACTTCAGTCTTATATGGTAAACTAGCTGCGCCCCGCGGTGTTACCCGGGGATTTTCGGGATTTCGGGGATGTAAAGTAGCCTACAATATGTTATTCCTGGAAGTCAGCTTCCTGTATACAAAATTTTATCAAAATCAGCCGTTCAGCCGTTTGAGCGTGAAGAAGTAACAAACATACACACACACTCACAAACTTTCGCAATTATAATATATTTTGTAGGATGTGATTTGAAATATAGACTTGTATTTTTTTATCTTTGCCAAAAGACTTATAATTCGAAATTTATTTTCAAAACGATTTAATTGATGTCTTTACTGGACAAATAAATATAATAGAACCGAGAACACATCTTAAGACTTGCTTTAAATACTTTTCATCCGACTGCGGCGAGACAAAGTACGTGTTGTTTTTATGTATATTGGCGGGTTTAAACTTTGTATTTAAGTGTCAGTTTGATGAGCGATAATCATTAAATACTTACTTAAAAAAAAACATTTCGAAGGCTTTTTAAAAGCAGTAACTGTCATCTTGGACATATTTTTGTGGAAATTTTAAATTCATATACAAATGTATAAATGATCGAAGTATTATACAGGGTGACTGGTGAATTACTATCAATATTTAAGGAGCATACTCGGTACATGATTCTCATTCGAATTATGTAAAAAAAATAGGTACTTAATTTTTGACCAAATTTCCGTATAAATAAATAAAGTGTGTACACGTTCCAAGTGTTCCTAGTGTGGACGCGTGCGGCGGCGTGCTGATACAACAACACGCCGCCGCGCGCGTATGTGTGAGTGTGTAGTGTAGAGTAATCTGTAGGGTGTTCATACGATGCGTAATTAATTACACAACTTTTGGTTAACTTTACTTAGAAGTTTATTAATATTTATGTTATATTAATTTTTATTTCGTCATATATGATCGTCAAATATCACGTCCTCAAATATCGATAGTAATTCACCAGTCACCCTGTATATTAAAAAAAAACAACAAACTGAAAATTCCCTTAGAAAATTTTAAAAATTTAAATTATCTCTATGGTTTGTAATTGTTTATAATATTTTTTATTTCTTTATCTTATCATTAAATAATATTAGAAAACAGTTTGTTAAGTACAATGAAAAGTGTTTAGCAACCTTGTTTTTTTGCGTTCCATTCCTTTTCAAGGTTTTAAGTGAAAGATTGTGATTCAACTGTTATACAATCTAAAGCAAACGTTTGGTAAGAATTTTATGAATATATAAGATTTTTTTTAGTTCATAGATAAATAAATTATTTTCTAAACTATATTTTCACCTTGGCCTTTATTTAAGTATGAAAGGCGGTATTTTTAATTCTCTTAGAACCAAACGTCTAACTTATGTTTATGTATTGTCCATAACGTTATCTGCTGACCTCATTACTCTAACCAAAATATAAATCAATATTGTTCCAGTTATGAAGTATATTATGAATTGGTGATGAATAATTGAAGTGATATAAAAATATTAATGCTCCATTTAATTGTATAAAAAATGTCACAAAACTGTGAATAATTGAGAATAATATATAACATTTATTTCTCGACTGATCTTGATTTATTATTAAATACGTTATATTAATATAAACGTTATTTAAATCAAAATTGATTTTTAGTATTACAGTCAAGATATTTTTTCATTTATTCGATATGAACTTTCTTAATTTTGCCAACTTTACACTACTTCATGTTTAATTCATTCTTCTTGTTGCCAGAATATTGTTTAATATTATTAATTTAACATAAAATCAGTGAGGAAGTGTTATAATTTATCGCATATATACGATATCGGGTTTTAAAAAAATATCCTGTTATTATATTTATATTTTATTATAACATACAGAATATTTTATTTTGTGATATAAATTTTTGTTTTGCATTTTGCCGCTATTAACGATTAAATGGAATTTCACATAATATTAAAAAGAAAAAAATATAAAATATTTTTTCGTATATTTTAATATTGTCCACAATTTAAATATCTTCGAGCCATCTTTATATAATTTTTTTTTCATACGAATATATTTTTTATCGAAGAGTGTACATATTGTAACCATGGCTACTGTTATGAGAACACGTATAATGTTGGCTATGATCGCATTGTTTCGGAGAAATGGGGTGAACTTGATCGCGTGCTCGGCCTTGAACTAGTAACTGCGATACAACCACTGCACTATCAATATTAAAATTAATATTTAATGAAAACTATGTAATTTACAGTTAACACGGTTTATGTACTTATAATTTTAATGAGTTCCACCAAAAGTTAGTTTTGCGGAAAAACCGTAATTTGAACGAATTTTAAAATTTCTGGAACGTATATATCTTATCGGTTCTTGTTATTTGACTGGCTTGTTTACATCGACATTTATTATCTTTGGATCAGAATTTTATTAATACTAACAAATAATTACTAAATTAACTTGTCGCTTTCCTTTTACTTGCTAACTATAATAATATTTTATGAATTCAGAAGTCAAAACCAATGTTTTCCACATAAAGTAGAACCCGAATGGAATCTTCGAAATAAGTTTTATCTGAAGAAATATACCTATCCATAATTTGTATATATACAAAGATTTAAATATCCGTCTCAGTTTCCGGAATTGAGATACTTATTTCCGTTTCTTGAGATCGTTTGAAGAATTTGGCAACATTCATAAAGCAATAAATTAATGAAGCTTTAGTATTTCAAGAATCAAAATATTTACTACGATTCATCGAGAATCTATTCCATGAATCGTTGGTAAGTAACGAACGAAAAAAAAAGTTTTTTGGCTCGGTAAGCGAATAACTGGAATACTTGTGTCGCTTACGACCTTTAGTTTTCGTGGTGTGGTTTTGCGCGTGCGCGGTCCGGCCGTCGTTGATACAAAACCGGCGTCTACCGTGCGAACTCGCTCAGTGTGATATCAAACATTCTAGCAATGCGTACGTATATCGTAGAAACGGACGCGTGACTCATACTATAAAGTTAGCTTGTGATACGCAACGAACAAAGTTTTTGTTTCACCCCTACCTGAGGGTGTTTATAGTAAATTGTTTCGGGAGCTGTCTCCATGTCTCAGTTGGTGCCGTACCAGCTTCTGAATAGCGAACAGGACGACGGACTGATGTTCGCCACAATGTTCGACTACCAGATGGATGAATATAACAAACCTAAGGTCAGTCTAATATTAAGTCTATTCGAA